CAGCAGCATGAAGCCATGCAAACGTTGGTGACTGAGGTGCTGGTGAAAATGGATGGTTTTCCACATCCATATTATCCATGTTATCACTTTAGCAGTGTTATTGTTTATTTCAGGTGGAAAAGGCTCTGTGCTCTTTTATTGTTGTTTTATAATACTGAGTTCATCTCAAATTCAACAAAGAGACGTTTGGCGTTAATGACTCCCAAAAAATCAACATCTGGTTAATTCCACCGCTGTGGTCGATGGCAAAAGCTGGGAAAATTGAACTCTTCACGGATAGTTCTGCTCACCACTGCGGTCTAAAGAATGTTGCTGCTTGTGGTGGCAGGATATTCTGTTGCAACTCTACTGAAAACAATGGAATATCTGGTTTGCTGTTGTCCGTCTACCGCACACACGTGAACACAGCATCAGAGATGATATCGAATGTGTACTGGACAAGTGACCAGTATCGGTGCATCACTAGACCTCACACACCTAGTCGAGTGCCTACTGGTCTTTCAAATGGTTCTGAAACAAGTCCAGCAGTAAACTCTTTAAATTGTTGCTGTTGGAACAAAATCTTGTATTTCCATTTTTGTTGGTATTGATTTTTGACATGATGTGAAAACACCAGCTGCCCTATACATTGTGTGAAATTTTCACGATGAATGGACCAACAAAAACAGCCCAAAATAACGTCGAAAAATCCAGGTCCATTAACTTCCATTCGAAGTTAAGATCATTATCACGAGGTTTTGCTCTGACAGCGACGAAATAAAGAATTTATTACAATGCAACATGGTAATGAGAACAGTCACTTAACATAAGAGGTATCAATGAATGAAAGCCAGTGAAGACCATTTAGCATTAGGCAAGAAATGATGCTATGCTAATAAGAAATTCATGAATTCATATTTAACTGAAGCATTACCATAAATCAAAAGCCCCATTTAACAATACTGCTAAGCAACAGACAGATATAAAGCTGATGCTCAGTGGGAAGTGGTAAATAAAAGAATACTAAAGTAATAATTAAAGACTGGGCGCAGGTTTTTGTAGTACTGCCGAAGGGGAATGACTGAATCTCTTTCAGAATAGCTAAGAGATGTTTTAGAATGACTAAGAGACGTGAGTCTATAAACACGGCACAGGCACACGGCTGACAGGAACAGGAACAGCTGCTCGACCACTTCACTTTTTCATTTATAATTCATCTTCTCTGGCCCAGGGCTACTTTCAAAAGTACACATCTAAAAGCCGGGCCTGAAATAAAACAAAAAATGTGAAACAATATCACGGCGCCATGAAATATTCATGCAGAATGGCAGCTTTCCGCAGCCTGCCATGTTCAACTTCCTCTCCTGTGAAAAAAACAACAAATAATGTGGTGTATAAAAAGCTTGATGATTGAATTGGAAGTTGCGAGCTGTTGAATTTGTTCTTTAAAAGGACATAACATATAAACAATAATGTAAGGGCCCATAACGCAAGTCCGCTTATGATGATCGTCATAGATCTTATATTTTATATATGTTTGTCGTAATTCTTATATTCTCGTAACTCATTATTTTTGCCTGACCATTTTCCAACCTTTTTTATCCTGTTTTTCTTACTGTGCCTTAAAGAGTGATATATGCACATGAGCTCTGTTCTGATTGGCTGCCTCGTTTCAAAGGCAGTCTGGCCTAAAACTGGCTTTATAACTTCCAAAAGGTGGAGCTAAACTGTGGTAAGCTAAATAGGCAGATATGTGTTGGACATCACAAAAACAATGAATTCAGTGACCTCTGTTCTGATTGGCTGCCTTATTCATAAGGCCATTGGGGGTGAAACACACTTTATAACTTTTATAACTTTCATAATAGGTGAAGCTAAACTGCTGTAAGTTGAACGGTCAGATGTGTTGTTTTTTGTGACATCACAAAAACAACGAATTCAGTCACCTCTGTTCTGATTGGCTGCCTCGTTTCAAAGCCAGTCTGGCCTAAGACTTACTTTTTAACTTCAAAAAGGTGGAGCTAAACTGTGGTAGGCTAAATAGGCGGATATGTGGTGGACTTTGTGACATCACAAAAACAACAAATTCAGTGACCTCTGTTCTGATTGGCTGCCCTATTCATAAGGCCATTGGGGCTGAAACACACTATAACACATAACTTTTATAACTTTCATAATAGGCGGGGCTAAACTGCCGTAGGCTAAATGGTCAGACAGGTGTTTTTTGTGACATCACAAAAACAAAAATGGGCTCTTTTTTGGAGCACAATTACCATATATGGACTGTATGGACTGGTGAATAAACTTGAACAACCTTTACATATTATATCAAACAACATTGTTGTTGTTTGATTTAGTATGTAAACAACAACAACAACAACTACCTACAAGAACCATACATACAATATACTACATCAAACAACAAGAAAATTGTTTTTTTTTCCATGATATGGGCCCTTTAATGCACAGGAGATCAGGCACTTAGAAGATACACAGAAACTAGAACTGCACAACGGGGACAAAACACCACATTGCAATTATACTGCTAGAATTGTTCTATGCCTCGCAACACACTGAGGACCCCTTTGATGATTGGTCAGCAATTTTTGGACCAAAATGTGTAATTGTTGGATTAGGTGAACGCTTTTGATTTAGAAAAACACGCAGTGATTTGCTAAAGGCCTCGTTTGCATATTGTGTGGTCTTCTGTGATATCAGTATTGCAAAGGTCAGTATTGCAATAATGATTAACAAATAATACATACTGTGCATTTGTAACACACAAGCACATGAAGAGATACGTATGTATGCACACACACTACACACACACACACACACACACACACACATACACACGCACACCCACACGCGCACACACACACACACACACACACATACATGCACACACACACACACACACGCACACACACACGCACACCCACACACACACACACACACACACACACGCACACCCACACGTGCACACACACACACACGCACACACACACGCACACACGCATGCACACACACACACGCACACACACACACCCACACACACACACGCACACACACACACACACACACACCCACCCACACACGCACACACACACACGCACACCCACACGTGCACACATACTACACACACGCACACACATTTCTTGGCTGGACCTTAAGCATGGTCAATGTCCCAGAGAAACATTCATCTCTGTCTCTCTGTGCAAAAGTCAAAGACCACCATTCATTCATTTCCAGTCAAAATGGCCATCAAGTACACTGACCACATAGGAGCACTCTGTACACACTAACGCACCACCACCACGTCAGTGCCACTGCAGTGCTGAGAATGATCCACCACTCAAATAGTACATGCTCTGTGTGGGTCCTGACCACTGAAGAACAGGGTAACAAGGTGTGCAGAGAAACAGATGGACTACAGTCTGTAACTGTAGAACTACAAAGTGCACCTATACAGTAAGTGGAGCTGATAAAATGGACAATGAAACAAGGAGGTGGTTTAATGTTATAGCTGGTTGGTGTATATGCAACAATAATTTATTTACCACTTTTATCCTGAAAATGCACACACACACACACACACACACACACACACACACACACAGGTAGAAAAATAAAGCAGCAACTCTATTCAAGGCCAGAATATTGTAGCCAACTTCTCTGTGCTGTCTTTGACCATTAGCTGGAGGCCATAGAGCTCCCAAATGGCCTGCCTTTCAATCTTCAAACCACACAGAGTACAGAGAGAAAATACAGCAAAGCCGTGACTGCTACAAAAGCATTTTGCAATACAGCAAGAGAGAGAGAGAGAGAGAGAGAGAGAAAGAAAGAGAGAGAGACAGAGAGACAGAGAGAGAGAGAGAGAGAGAGAGAGAGAAAGAAAGAGAGAGAGACAGAGAGACAGAGAGAGAGAGAGAGAGAGAGAGAGAGAGAGAGAGAGAGAGAGAAGAGAGAGAGAGACTGGCTAAGGAAACTGAAATTTCAGTTTTCACCACAAACCTTTACTTCTGTGAAAATAATTAATAATAAAACCAAATCAAAACATAACAAACTTTATCTGAAAGCAGAAACCATCATCACATCCTGGAGAGTGAAGAGAGAGTGAGAGTGTGGCAGAATGAGGGGAAGGAGTGAATGCTGAGGAACGAGGATCTACTGGAAGCAGAAGGAAAGAGCTGTAGGAGAAAAGGAGCTAGCGGTGATTAGCGTTTAGCACTGAAGGGCTGCTACCATTGGAGTAGAAGAGGAGTGGGAGGAGCTACAGCACAAACGCAGCTGTTATATGTTTTACAATAAAGGGGTGTGGCTATCTGAGCTGGATGAATACGCCTACCTGTTGCATTCTGTTAGTTATTATGTGACTGTAGAACAAATGGCAGTGTGTAGCCAATATTATCACTTAATTATAATGTTAACGTGCATAATACACAATTTTACACTCCATTGCATGATGTTGCCTCAGGGCAACAAACCCATTGTCTGTTTATTTTGCTCAGAAAATCCATTTGTCATCATTTTTCATCCATCAAAAAATATAATTCACATCTGTTGGAATGCGAAAGTTAATTTTTTTTAACATTCAGTTTTTTATCCAAGTTAGTTTTCTTAGGAGAAATTGCTTGAATATTAATGTTGCCTACAAGCAACACGATGCGACAATTCTACTCAACTTCTTATTCTAAATGACTTATCCAGACCCCTCCCACAAATGGACTTTATTGTAGCTACTGTTTCTAGATTGGACAAACTTACCGAACGCTAGCGATGTTCTCATTAGGTTAAATGAGACTTTTACCATCGATCAGTAAAGCTTGTCCAACCTAGCAACAGTTGCTATGAGCACATTTGTGGATATGGGGTACGGATAGGCCAGTTGCTGTGCAAGAGGAAGCAGATGTCGTCAGTAAGGGGCAGTATGTTGATGAAGTGGGTGGGGCTTGTATGTTAACGGAATGGGTGGGGCTTGTATATTAATAAATTAGGAGTGGCTTAGGAGATGTGGTTACCTGAGGTGGGTGACTTGCTCCTCTCCAGGTCCAGAGACACCTGGTTGTCTGAAAGTTCCGTAAGGCCTGCCGCAGCCAATCAGAGAGTGGAGAACGCGAAACAGGAAAAGGAAGCAGACAAAAATAAGAACTTATTTCATCCAAATACGAACAATATCAGAAAGCGTCATAACAGCCATGGCAAACAGCGCAGTGTGATGTGCTTAGGATTATTCTGGAGTAAACACAGACATTTTCGGCTTTTTGTTTTTGACCTCAGCGACAAGAAATGGCACTTTTATTGCCTACTATTATAAGAAATTGTTGCTGTCATAACCAAAACCTCACGTTTATGGAATAGTAAATCTCTAGGAGAAGGAAAAACATTCTTAACTGGTGAATCCACATAGTTTTATGAAAAACAAAAACAAAAAAAATCATTTTTACATGATTTTCCAACATTTCTATCTCGCTTAGAATTAAACTGGCTGTTTTATTTATTATGACTTATTATTATTTATGACTAAAATATTTAAATAACCTACATTCTGATTGGCTGGCTCAATCAAAAAGCTGGGCTGAAACATCCCTCATGAATGAACTCCAGCATGAATGGGCGGGGATTAACTGCTGTTGCCTAAATAGGTGGATATTGGTACATGTGACATCACAAAAACAGCAATTTCAAAATGGGCTGTTTTTGCAGCTTAGCCTGTATATAGCCTGTATATAACTGTGTCATCACAAAAACAAGTGTCTGAAATGACTTCAAATTAGGCTGATTTGTGGCTTAGCCTGTATATGGACTATATAAACGAGATGGATATATGCAGCTTAGTATATATAGAGTGTATAAACTGCATAAATATATGTAAATGAGTTTGTGACATCACAAAAAACTGTGAATTCAAAATAGGTTAAATTGTGGCTTAGCCTGTGTATAGACTGTATGAACTGGGTGGATAAATGTAAATGAGTTTGTGACATCACAGACACAGTGAATTCAAAATAGGCTGATTTGCCGCTTAGCCTGTAAATAGACTATATAAACGAGGTGGATATATGTAAATGAGTTTGTGACATCACAAAAACAGAGAATTCAAAATAGGCTGATTTGCGGCTTAGCCTGTATATGGACTGTATCAACTGGATAGATATATGTAAATGAGTTTGTGACATCACAAAAAAACAGAATTCAAAATAGGCTGATTTGCGGCTTAGCCTGTGTATAGACTGTATGAACTGGGTGGATATATGTAAATGAGTTTGTGACATCACAAAAACAGAGAATTCAAAATAGGATGATTTGTGGCTTATATATATATATAGACTGTATAAACTGGATAGATATATGTAAATGAGTTTTGTGACATCACAAAACATTAAAAGCTGTTTTTCCACATTTAGGCTGGCGTTCATTTCGGAATATTAACTGTGTTTCCATTACATCAAAAAAAGTGAACTCCATAATTTTTTTTCCATAATACGGGCCCTTTAATGCAATGCAGCTTCATTCACGGCAATTTTGATCCATTTGTATTCGTCCATTCATCCTGAAATAATCACATAATGTAAAGGGCAGCTGGACTTAAATGGCATAATACAATAATAGAAAGGTGAACATGGAAATATGAGGGTTTGTATCACAGCAACAAAATCCAGTACGGCTTTAAAAGGAGGCTACAAAAGGACGTAGCCATCGGGCACCTGTTCAGTAGTAAAACAGCACAGCTGCCACTGTTTAATGTGAATTTCTGCAGAGTCACTGAAAGCGATAAAGCATAAGCGCTCCAGAAATAGCTCAGCACATCCACATCACCGAAGAACCAGCGTGTCTGTGAGTAAACACTCATATTGATCATATTCTAGGCCCCATCTGCACAAATATGATGAGGCCTGCACTGCATCCACATCAATCACTTAATGTGTTTGTGTCTGAGAGAGAGAGGGAGAGAGAGAGAGAGAGAGAGAGAGAGGGAGTGATAGGGAGACAGCAGAAGAGAGAGGGAGTGAATTCCAGGACTGGAAACTCTTGAATTAATGCATGAGTGTATTATAACATTCTAATCCATGCGAATGTATGCAGTGCAAACCTCATTTAGTCACAAGCACGGAGAACCAGAGAACCAATGCAGCCACCTCAATCAGGGTCAAGGAAAAGGTGATTTTAAAGGGGACACTGGAGTAAGTCCCTTCCGCAAGCATTAGTTCATGCTGAAAAAAAACCCCAAATTTCTTCACCCGGAAACTTTTCGCCTCATCTTCAGACAGATATAGGGCTTTTTTCCACCGTTGGTTTGGAGGCTATGCTGACCACAGCGGAATGAATTATCTTGATAAAAGAGACCTTGGGTCTGCGAGAACTCAAGGCCCTTTAGTGTAGATTTATACATTTGTGCCAACTTTAAGAGCTCAATCAAGTGAGAAATGAAGTTTTTCTAGATATTAAGAATTTGTGACTCTTCAGCACTTTAATACTTTCAGAAAGTGCTAAGCTGTGGTTTTACGCTACTGACTACTGAACATTTCCATCTTCCGTCCAAACACTGACTGCCGGGACAGTTGCTGAACCCTGATTGGTCACTCTACCAAAGCGCAGACCAGGACAGACGTTCGGAGAAGAGTATGAAATGCCTGGATGTTTCTTCGCCCACTCTGCACTCTTCACAACAAAAGCTGCCGAAGGTTTCTTTGGAAAGACTCGGCAACAGCTTTTGGTCCCCTGTCGAGCATTTCAGCGGTTCTTTTGGTAAACCAGAGTGGATTTAAAGAACCTAGTTAACATTTAAAGAACGCCCCACATAATGTAAACGTTCCATACTTTCTCAAACAGAACGGTTTCCAATGGGTTCTTGGCTTGAAAGTATGGTTCTGCGGAAGAACGTAAAAAGTATCGAACCTTTCACATGATGTTGATCTTGACGCTTGTACGTCTCATTTAAAGAACTTATTCTGTAAAGAACCATCCATGGAAATATTCTTCAGGGAACCAAAAGTGTGTCTCTTTAGGCAGCTGGTCTTCAACTCTAGATGCTGGGTCCAGTTTCCAGTCCTGGATTTTGTTTTCACTGGTAGTTAATTGAACTAATGATGCAGCTGATTGGCAACATAGTGTCATACCTACCAGTAATAACAAAACCAAGGACCGGAAACTAGAGAAAAGTGTGAAATTCATGACCTCTGTTCTATGGTAAAGAACCCTCTATGGTACCTTTATTTTTGAAGACTGTAAAGAAAGACTCATCACTAGATTAACCCTCTAAGACCAGCCGTCCAACCAGTGGGTCAGAATTAGATGTTGTCTTTGGACAATCAATGATTACAAGTTCTTACATTTGCTGGGCAAACTACATTCTTAAATACAAAGGTGCTAAAAAGGGTAATTTCAAGCAACACCTTTGGTTTCCTAAAGAACCTTTCAGTGTATGGTTCTCCAGAGAATCATTTTTGCAAATACGATGTGCAAAAAACCCTTTTTAAAGTTTAAAGAACCACCTTAAAGGTTCTAGGAGAAACTAAATTGTTAACCCTTTGCATTGTGTAACGTTGTTTACACCTTTAAAAGGTTCTCGCACACTCACGGATCTATTTTTCAAACTCGATTCTTCAGGGAACTCAAAGTGGCGTCACTCAAAAACAATTTGTCTATATATTTACTGAACGAAAATATACTCTATAGTGATGTGATAGAAGTACCACCATTGGTTGCCTAAAGAACCTTTTAATGGATGGTTCTTTGAAGGAATACGACAGCGTTTTCCAGCCTAATCTTTAGGTTGGCCTCTATAACATACGGTTGATTATTATAGATGACAATTTAGACTTGTTTCTCTGAATTTATGCAAGAACAGAAAACAGGTTCATTCTAATACTTTGGCCTGCACTTCTATCCTGAGCAAGTTTCAGGTCTGTTGTTTGAGTTTAGGTTGAAAAACGCTGAAGCGCTCAATGTTGGAGTGTCCATCCACTGAAAGGTTTAACGGGGCACCAAATGTGGTTCTTCATGGCTCCAAAGAACCCATATTGGTACGTTTATTTTCAACAACATAGCGAGTCCTAGTTCGCCAATGTGGACCACTTCCTTCCATCATCAAAAGCAGGAAGCTCTTAATGTGGGTTTGTGGGTACTACTACTACTAATCAATGACTCATGCTGAAGTCATCAACCAATCAACATCCAAGCATTTCAAGTCACCCCAACCCCACCTTTGGCCACTGGGTCCCACCCACCCGCCCCATCGGCTTCTCCCTGGAGACGGGACTTACTCTGGTAGGAGGTACGGATCCTTTTCTTTGAATCGGAATAAAAGTTAGACAGGCCACGCATGCAAAAGTCTGCAACAGCGCACCCATGCCCAAGCATCGCCACCCACCAGAGAGAGAGAGAGAGAGAGAGAGGGAGAGAGAGAGGAGGGAGAGAGAGAAGAAGAACAAAACAGGCTCCGGGTGAAAAAAGAGGAGTGTGACCGCAAGGCAAGACCAAGTTCAGTGTTCAGTGAGTGGGTGAGGGAGAAAAAGAAAAGGAACTGGGGGAAGGGAAGAATGTGAGGACATCTTTGGAAAAGAATGTGAAGTAACAGAATAAAAAAAAACTGACCCTGACTTTGGCTAACCTGTGGACTCTCGCACTGATCTACAGTGGACGACATTCGCCTTTACTTTCCCAATCAATAATATACGCAATAAGTGAACAAAACTCAACCGAGCAAGAAATAAATGCCTCGTTTACACCTGCATCTTAAGTATCAGGACTATATATGGATAGAGATTATTAGTAGGGAACCGTCAGGTGTACATGTCTAAGTATATGCGGCCAAAGCAAGCTCTCGCATTGTTTAGGACTTCAAGAGCTGAACTGACCGTCTTGCTCGGTTTATTACCCACCAACATAATTAGAAATTGAAAGTGGAACCAACCAATCAGATTTTAATTTACAATGTGTGGGACCAATTTTCTGAGAAAAGGGCCTGCTGGAAGTTCTAGATACTGACTGTGAATACAAGCTCTAGTCTAAGCAGGTTTCAGTTAGTTGTTAGGAATGGAAAACAGTGGCGGCAACACTATGACAGAACCATTTACTGAAAAAGTCACTGTAAAACTAAAATGTTAACGTCTGTTACTAGCTTCAAACAAAACATACCGCTGTTGTTGGAAGAAAACCATGTATCTCTAAAATGGTAACTTTACAAGAGAAGGAAAAAACCTACCTTACGTTTTATGTAAGTCAATGGAACCAGAGTTTTTCCAAGTAATTTTAAACCGTTTCTTTTGGTCCATTCGTCATGACTGAATGTATGAATTTACATACATTGTAAAGAGCAACAGGTACTTTCAAATTATGTCAAAAACTGAAAAATGACAAAAATGGAGATACAAGGTTTTCTTCCGACAACAGCGATATGGAACATCTTTTACAAGCTTCCATGTTTATGTGCACCAGCATTAGCTTACTACTAACATACTATTAGAAATCCTATAGGGGTGCTAGCAGAAATTATAATAGAGATGAATATTTTTCAGTTTTCTCCCCAATTTAGTCATATCCAATTCCACCCACTAGTTAGGACTCTCCAATCACATGATACCACCAGCACTAGGTGGGCAAAGGCAAAACACAAGCTTCCTCTGAGGCATCTTTCTGAACTGCCACTAATACAACGTCAATAGACAGCTGAATGTGCTTGGAGGAGAACGCTAACCACCAGTTCTGTTATGTCAGCTAACAGACGCCTGCGCTGCCTAGCATCGCACTAAGAGATGGGAGGAGAGAGAGGGCCATCCTACCCACCCAGAGAGAGTGAGGCCAATTGTGCTCTCTTGCACTCCTGGCCATGATGGGTGGGGATGGAACATGCAATCTTCTGATGATAGGGCCTGCGCTCTGACCACTCAGAAGCCCATTAGAGGTGGACTTTTATTGTCAAGTTTTGACATTTATGGCCCAAACTGAAAGCCTAGCTCTAACAGTCATGATTTGCCACTGGCTATTTCCCACATAAAAACACATAAAAGTACCCAAGAGGCATTTAAAAGAGGCACGCTGTCCTTTCACAGGACCAGAGCTACTGTCCAGTCACTGATGTGGTCAAGTTCAAGTTTAGTGACCTTTCCGCTGGCCTGTCCACCACCTATCGAGCTTAAATAAAGCCCTAGTTTAGTTCATATTCACGTCACCCTAATTGTCATTTACTGTCTTGCTACATCATAATGGCCATGACCTCTTGTAAACCCTGACTGCAGAAGTTGCCGCCTTCCTCTTCATTTAATGCATGCAAAACTGATTTTCGCAACAGCAGGTATCTTCTTCATAGAACAGGAAAAACCTTAAATGAAGAAGAATGCAGGTGATTGGGTGTCCTTTCATGAGCTTATTTGCATATTGTGTGGTTTTCAATCTGACTAACTGTAGGCATTTACCAAAGTCAATGTATTTATCAATATCAATGTTCGTTTGAAATCTTATCGGAATACAATCAAAGACACAAGTTGTGTGAAAGACACAAGTTGCGTGAAATGACCAGGTTTCAGGCCATTTCAGGTCCAGGTGTAAACAGGGTTACAGTGAAACAAACAAACAAACAAACACATTTTTAAACGCTCAAAAACAGAAAAAAACACATTACATCTGTCCACAACAGCACATCTCTCTCTGTTCGGCTCCACAGTGAGATAGACATGAGTAAACAGCTATAAGAGCAGCGCATGCAGAAGCGCGTGGCATGAACGAGGGATCCTTACAGTTTCTAATGTCCTAACGTGAAAAGGATGAAGGCTGCACTGTTTTTCTTTATTTTCTTTAATTTTATTCCTATTTCCAGATAAGAATGTGTCACTATTTCCATTAGAACTTCAGCGCTTTGGTACTTTTAGTGAAACCTAAACTTGACATTGTTGCTCTCATTTTAAAAACACATATTTACGCCAATTGAAAATGGCATCTGTCATTCATATTGTGTATTTTGTGTTAAGTGGACTAATTAAAAAAAAAAACCTTTGTTAAATTAAAGAAAGTTGCTTCTCTTACAAAGTTACCCCTCCAGCGATGCCCTGCACACAACCTAACGTGGGGTAAAATGCAGTGGGGAGCCTTCAGGGCCTTCAAAGCCTTTAGAGGAGGCCTAATGATTTCTGTGAGCTAAGAAATGCATGTGTTTAACTTTGCTGATTTTTATTCAATAAAATCGTGCTTGTATTTAAACTCTACAGGTACGGCTGCACTGCTCTTGTTTCATTGTTAAGTGTAGGATGGAAACAAAAGGGTTAAATTCTTGAAATGCCCAGCGGAAAATTGGCCAATCAGGAATTGTTTTTCTCTGTGGTTTCTAGGCAGATATTACTAAGCTCTCCTATTGGTAGGACTTCAGGAGCTGAAGACAAGTCCTAACAGGTTAGATTAACTATTAGCACAATCACAAAGTGACTGAGGAATCAGTCATGTTTTGATTGGTGGGACCAATGCTATGAGAAAAATAGTCACTTTAAGCCCTCTGGAAGTTCTAGATCTATCACTGACTGAATACAATCAGTGGGTTGTTGGCAGCTCTATTGTAGCCTCACTACTGAAAGAGTCACTGTGAAACTACTCCAGGTAAACTATATGCTAATATGTCTCTCACAAGCTTCAGGTAAAACATGTAAGGCCTTCTGAAATGTCTATCTTTAATCTATAACTGCCCTTTTCTAATTTTCCATCCTACTTTAAATGCTGCAGCACTTTGAATCAGGTGTCAACAAATTTCGCCGTTTCATCTTAAATACTGCTGTAGTTACATTCTGGTGCCTAAAGGTGGCACCGTATAAGGTTTTCTATGAACCCAGATTCTCAAAGTGTGCCATCTTGATATTAGTATCATTCTACATTCTATAATGTGGACATTTTGTTATAACATACGCTATATGGACAAAAGTATTGAGACGTCTACACATTACACCTACAGGAGCTTTTATGACATCCCATTCTAAATCCATAGGCATTAATATGGAGCTGGTCCCCCTTTGCAGCTCTAACAGCTTCCACTCTTCTGGGAAGCTTCTACAAGATGTTGGAGAGAGTCTGTGGGAATTTCTGTCCATTCATCCAGAAGAGCATTAGTAAGGTCAGACACTGATGTTGGACGAGAGGGCCTGGCTCACAATCTCTGCTCTAGTTCGTCCCAAAGGTGTTGGATGGGGCCTTTTTTTATTTAGAACAGAGGCAACCAAACTGTGCTGCCCTGCAGGGACAATTTTAAGTTTGCACAGGTTTTGCACAGCAGCATATTCAGCATTTAGAGCTCATCAGAAGGGGTGCTATTCATTTTGAGGGAAAAAGGGGCAGCTGACGGTCTCATTTTGTTTAACTGTGGAGGCCAGAGGGAGGGCACTGCCAACGTCAGCCACCCCTTCGCTCTGCTTATGCGCTTGACCAAAGCAAATGGTCAGCGGAGAGATGACTGGATGTTTTGTGCTCCTTGTCCATAAGCTTAAGAACACCAGACTAAACTTCATGCTGTCTTTAGAGTATCTGCTTCTGTTTCTTTCTTCCTCTGCTGACTGAAAAGCGGAGCGTGTTGGTGTGAGGGCTAAGAAACTGCCTCTTTTTACGAGCTTTCATAATCAGCGGATCAAACCGGCCACCCGTCTGCCCTGACTGACCCTTCTGTCCATCTCCGCAGTCCTCTTTCTAAAGACGCGGCCTGAATGAGGCCCAGCGGAGCGGCTTTGAAGCCGGCACGGCTCCACATGCCCCTTTTTGATGAAGCCGACAGCGAGAAAGATTCAGTTTTTCATGTCCTGCACTCTGTGCCTTAGAGATGGTTGATATGGACAAAAATTACTGAGATATTTTTTATTAGCAAAATTATGAAAAATCTGCCAATAATTATGAGGTAAAAAAACAGCATTAATTACTGTTGTTGCATTCAAACAAGCAGCAAGTAATCATAATTATTGTAAACAGTTTTTTTCAAATAATATTAGCAACGAAGCTGCGGCAAAACTAAAAGAATATAAATAAAAACAACAAATAAAATTCATAAAATAAATTAAGCCTCAATATCCATAAGATATTTGATCTTTGCTTAGATCTATCTTAAAGCATAGAGTTCTAAAAAAAAGGTTGATATAATAAATAAAAAGTCAAATAAGGTGAAAATGTTTGGATGCAATGCTAAAAAGTAATTAGAATATGAAAAATGAATATCAATATCAGTAAAAAATTCGATTAGTGCCAATGTCTATCAAACAATTCTGAAAATAATGCCAATGCAATTAATAAAGCATCGATATTGATTATCAAAATATCAATTAGATAATCAGCCAGGTCTACTATTTATACAGTTCTAAGAAATAATAACAACAGTGTGATAAATTCATTATAGAAAGCAGTGAAAATGTAGTTATTGTTGGTGTACAATTCTAAAAAACTGACGTTGATATGAAAAATGAAACTGATTACTGCTCAGTGTACGATACTAAAAAATGTTGAAATGATAAATGTCAGAATTGTACTGTAGTAAAAAAGATGAATACGTAAAATTAAAATAAATGACATAAATACACTAAATGAAATGTTATTATTACTGATTGGTGAAAAATTTGATTACCAACTAGTATTTGATTCTAAAAAATATGTTAAAATGATAAATAAAATGTCAATTTTAAAAGATGAATTTGACTGTTGTCTGGGATCTACTGTGTGAACAATTCTAAGTTACGTGGTTAATATGATAAACTCAATATCAATTTAGGTGAAAAAATCTGCTCTGGACACAATTCTACAAAGTAATGAACCTGAAAAATGAACATTAATGTCAGTGAAAAATCTAGGTCTACCATAAATTCAGGGTCTACTATATATACAATTCAAAACACTAATGTTGGCGAAAATTAGATTATTTCTTAGTTCTACACACTTAAAAATGATGGTTCTTCAAGGGTTCTTTAGTTAAGAAAATGGTTCTATATAGAACAATGAACAGTTCTTTGCATTGTGAAAGATTCTTCAGTTTGATGGAGAATGTGCTGTAGATGTTTCTAACAGAAACCTTTTGAAAAGGTTTCTATATAGCACCAACAAGGGTTCTTCTATTCTTATGATGTTAAGCTTGTAATTATAGAAGAACCCTTTTTCATGCTATATAGAACCATTTTCAAAACAAGTTTCTATATAGAACCATCTACAGCACATTTTCTATCAATCTGAAGAAACTTTCATGATGCAAAGAACCCTTAAATCATGCAAATGGCTCTTTGAGTGTTCATGGTTCTATATAGAACCATTTACTTTACTAAAGAACCCTTGATGAACCATAATTTTTAGGTGTAGCATGCGTAAAATTCTAAAAATTCTAAATTCTTTGTCTAAAATTCAAAAAATGGTAAAATTCTAAATTCTGTGTAAAATTCTAAAAAATTCTAACATTCTAAATTCTGTGTGTAAAATTCTAAAAAGTTCTAAAATTTTGAATTGTGTGTAAAATTCAAAAAAATTATACAATTCTAAATTCTGTGTGTAAAATTCTAAAAAAATGAGCTTGATGTAATAAATCGCTGCTGTTTAAACAAAAGCTCATACCTCAATTTGTGTCATTTTTCACCTTTTGACATAATTTGAAAACGCCTGTTGCTTTTTATATTGTGTGCAAATTTCATGATGAATGGACTAAAAGAAACGACCCAAAATGACTTGGAAAAACGTCTGGTTCCATTGACTTACATTAAAAGTAAGGTATGTTTTTTCCTTCTCCTGTAAAGTTACCATTTTGGAGATATGAGGTTTGCTTCCGACAGCAGCGATATGTTTATACCAGTGACAACCTTTATTGTTGTTCAGGTCTACTGTGTGTACAATTATATAAGAGAAATAATGATACGAGAAATTAGATATGAGAAATGATCAATATTGCTGAACAAAATTATTATCGCCCAGGTCTACTGTGTGTACAGTTTTAAGAAATGGCATTGATACCAAAAAAATGTGAAAAATTGTATAATCACTCATATCTACCACAATTCTAAAATGTCAATGAAACATCAGCATCGGTGAAAAATTCGATTACTGCCCAAGTCTACTACGTGTGCAAGTGTTGTCGGAGATTTGAGCGAGTTTAAATGCATTTTTATGTGTGTCTGTGTGTGTGATGGGGGCGGTTGGGGAAAGAGGGAATGGGGGGATTAGTAGCAGTGTGTGTGTGTGTGTGTGTGTGTGTGTGTGTGTGTGTGTGGGGTCTGTCATGCTGAAGCGAAGGCCGACAGAGATGTCAAAAAGGACAACATGCAGAGAATGCAGAACCATAAGTGCAGCCTGTCTCATGCAGTCAGAGAGAGAGAGTGTGTGTAAATTGTGTGGGCGTGCGACAGAGAGAGAGTGAAAGAGAGAGAGAGAGAGAGACAGAAGATTGACAGAAAGCAGAGAGACCAGAGCTGGAGTGACAGAGTGAGAGAGTCGCTACATATGTCTGCTCATGATGGTGTGGAGCGTGTCTGTGTGTTAGAGGTCTGCTACTCGACCTGAGCCCACCGGGGTCCGGCAAAATACGGGGTTTCGGGGGTTTCTTGGTGTTTTTTGACGTACAACATCGGGCTCAGGTCCGGTTTGCTAATGAGTGTTTTTTTAAGTAGCAGATTTTTTTAAGTAGTAGTTTTTGACTCGGACACTTGCTTAACTGAATCATTACTTGACTCAGATTCATGCTGAACTGACTCGCAACTTGAAACTGATTCATACTTAACTGGCATGTGACACGGGGGTTATATTGACTCATGACTCGAATCGGATGCATGCTTAACTGACTCACGACTTGACTTGGATTTGCGCTTAACTGACTCATGACTCAACTCGGACTCGTGCTCAACTGAAACACGACCTGACTTGGACTTGCGCTTAACTGGCTCATGACTTGACCTGGATTTGCGCTTAGCTGACTCATGACTCGAGTTGGACTCACGCTTAACTGATTCATGACTCGACTCGGACTCGCGCTTAACTGACTCATGACTCGACTCGGACTCGTGATGACCTGACTCACAACTCAACTTGGACTTGTGCAACTCACTCGTGATTTGACACGGACTCGCACTTGTGACTTGACTTGAGTGCTTGTAACTTCACTCGGGCGCTCACTTGACTGACTTGCGACTTGGATGCTCGCTTAACTGACTTGTGACTCGACTCAGACTCATGCTTAACTGACTCATTACTCAACACAAACTTAGGCTTTACTGACTCATGAGTTTGTCTCGGACTCATGCTTAACTGACTTAAGACTCAATTTGGATTCATGCTTTACTGACTTGCGACTAAATTTGGACTTTGATTGGATGGACTCTGATGGACTCTGATTCACAGCTAACTGACTCATCCCATGACTTAATTGACTCATGACTCCATTCAGATGCCCTCTTAACTGACTTGTGACTCGACTCACACTCGAGCGCCACTCAGACTTTTGGATTGAACTTTTATCCAATCAAACGTCTTCCCTCCAAATCTTCACTGTCAACAATTCTGCAGGACAGTTCTGCAGATTCACTGCGCCGCAACCGTCATGCACCATGTGCATTCGGCAGAACTTGCCACTGAAATTAAATTAGGATGTAGCTTGACAACAAATTGGCACGGGTTGGGTTGAGTTTCCAAATTTAGCACCAATAGTTGGGCCGAGTCGGGCCGAGTTGGGCCGGGTCGGGTTGGGTTGGGCCGGGTCTTAAAGTTGCAGAAACAGGTCGGGTTTGGGTTTCACTTTTATGCCCATGCAGACCTCTAGTGTGTGTGTGTGTGTGTGTGTGTGTGTGTGTGTGTGTGTGTGTGTGTGTGTGTACCTGATGTGGACTGGCGGTTCTTGCGCGGAGAACGTGTGAGGCGCTGGAAGGGATCGGCTGAGCCGTAAAGCTCCACGGTGCTCATACACAGGATCACTGTCTTCTGTAGATAATCCACCACCGCCAGACCGTTACAGTTACCTACAGCCAGACTGCACACAAACACACAAACAGGTGAGTCATCAGTGCGGCCATTACTCCAGTGCAAGGTCCGGAACATTTGGCACCACAAAACTAGAACTCTTCTCCAGGGGCCGTTGAACCAGTAATGAAGGTTCCAGTTTTATGGTTTTTCGGGGCTCAACAAGACCGAAGGGAACTCAAACTGTGTTCTGCTAACACTCGCAGCTGGAACCAACTAAAATTTAGCGAATTCTTTTCTCTTCCAGTCACTCAGACATTGCATTATTGACTGACTCGCAACTCGACTCAGACTTGAGACTTACGACTCGTGAAATTTCAGCCTGACTGTTTCAGTGTGTGACTTGCTGAAGTCATGCACAGTCATTAGCGCAATATTGTTCCCCTGCAGCTCGCGGCAGCATCAGCTTCAAGGTAGCAAGTCTTTCAAATGTACTTCAAATAGCAAGTCTTTCATTATAGAAGTGCTTTCAGTCTGATGGACGGAATGAAGCGCTACATGCAGTAAATGTGCTGTTTAAAATAAAAAGGCAAAACAACTTAAAACAGGTTGGCTAGCAAAAAAAAAAGCTTTTATAGCAAATATGTTAGCTATCATAGCTAAAATTATCAGCTAATGCAGCTGAAGTTTTAGTAAGATACAGATCACATTCTCCTAAGACTCATTAAGTTTCAGCAGGATTAGTCATTGTGCTAGTTAGCTATATAACATGCTATATAACCTTTCAAGTTGTTTTGCCTCTTTCCTTAAAAATGTAACACTTCAGTTCTTTCCTTCAGGCTGAAAGTTTCCCAGAATGAACGGCTCTTTTTTGAAGCAATGTCAAAGTGTCAACTGACAAGCATGCCGTGCACCCGTCCCCCAGGCCCTGATGACCGCCACGAGAGCCGGCAGGAGGGCAGGGCCCGAACCCCAAACACCGCCAAGGGATGCGAGTGATGGCGGGATGAGGATGTCAGCCGCCAAAGAGGAGGGGAACGACAACTACTGCCTCCTGTTCCGCAGCGAGGCCGCTAGACTACACCTGATGTTCGAACCAGGCAGCCGAGCTGGGGAGCGGGGCGGTGATGGAGAGGCGGAGAAACAAGCGGAGAGTGAACAGAGAGAGACAGAGGGACAGGCAGCAAGAAAGACTGACGAGCTGAAAAGTTCAAGTGGGGAAAAAGGCCTGAAAAGTCCAGTTTTGAAGCCACTGTAAAGTGTCTGGCTTTTGATTTGAGTTGTTTTTGTTTGTTTGGAGTGAAAGTAAAGTTAAAATGGCTGCTGTAGATGTTTTTCCTGCCTCCAGCATCCTTCCTGAGCCTGGCGTTGCACAGGCCAGCAAGTTTGTTAGTAGGGATTTACTTTTGTAGAACGCGGTAAAAATTAAAACAAGAACCGAAAGCTTCATTTCTTGGTTTTGAATATGCGGTGAAAACAGAAATGCATAAAGAGTTGAAGTAAAATCACACACTCTATGTGACATTCACTACTCGTCTATTCCAGCGGACAGATGTACTGTTTACTTGATAATTTCGTTAGTCGACCCAAATTTAGACAACTGGTAGTTACAATTTGATGATGTCACATTGTTCTGACTTTATGAGGGAACAAGAAACATTTGAACGCACCAAGAAACTCATGGGAAATCTAATGAGGGGCCACTCACAGTCCATAGGCGGAGTTTAAATCCAGGCTGGTGATTTGCTGAGGCGGCTCTCCATCCACCCATAACAACTGCACCACAAGCTCCGCCTGGTAACCGGGGGGCATCCGTATCACACGGTCCTTTACCCTGAGAGAAAACCAGCATTTATATTCATAAAACACAACCAAGTTTACCAACACGTGTCTGCTTTACCTGGAACTTCCATCTATTCAAGGCTTGTTCTCGATCTCAGTTCTTTGCCAGCCTGCTAAACTGAACAAATCCCGATTCAAATGGACCAACTTTGGAAAGTTGATTAGAATAAGAGGTAATGCTTTATTTGGATGGTCCACTGTAGATGCTTTGTAAATGCTCAGTGATATAAGTAATATTCAACTAAATATCCATTAAAAGCAACATTCAGTGTGAAAGAGTTTATTAAATCAATTCCTAGCCCTAAACCTAACCCTAACTTTAATCTCAGGGCAAAACCTACATCTACTCCTAACCCTAACCATAATGTTGTTGTTAATCCACTGACCATCACCAGAAAGTTTGTTAATGATCTGTCGACCATCTATAGGTGACCATCCAAATAAAGTGTGACAGAATAATATTCAATTCAGTCGATTTTTTATTTAATTAAAATTTTGGGGTTTTCAAATGTAAAATAAAAAACAAGCATGGTGTATTGTTTTGTACGTATTCTATATTTATTGTATTGTATGGTATTTATTCTACATTTAACCACTGTGTAAATAGCTCCTCTCGTTCTTCCATTTGTGTATTCAGTGTATTTGCTATGTGGCAAAATGACAGATTTAATGATGTAATAATTCATCTTCTAAAGAATTATACTCAAATTATATTGATTTGAAATGTGCTGAAATTTGAGATTTAGTGATACACTGAATCGTTTCCTAAAGCATCATAATATGACTGAATCAAATCAAATCAAATCAAATCAAATGTTGCTGAAATTTGACATATTTGTGGTGCACTGAATCATTTCCTAAATAACTGTAATTTAACTGAATCAAATCAGATTGAATCATATTGTCTTGAAATCTGAGATTTTGTAAAGGATTGAATTATTTCCTAAAGAATCATAATTGAAGTGAATGAAATCAAATCAAATCAAACGTTTCCAAGATTTGAGATTCTGTGATGCACTGAATCATTTACTAAAGAATCATAATCAAATCGAATCAAATCAAATTAAATTACATCAAATGTTGCTGAAATCTAAAATTTAGTGATACATTGAATCATTTCCCAAATAATCATAATCAAATGAATTCGAATCAAATGTTGCTGAAATTTCAGATTCATAACTGTTATAAAGCTGGTGTGGAGTCGAACGAGTTGTTGTGTCCGGTGCAGAAGCAGTATCTGACCTGAGGCAGGGGATGCTGTCCCTCACACTGTCCGGCGTGCTGCTGCGTGGGCTGGAGGGCTGCGGCTGGGGCGAGTGACCGCCCAGGTCCGTCACACACACCGTGTTCTCTGTGTCCGACGGGGAGATTACGTCCTCCATCTCACACTGCAGACGCACCTCCAGAGACTGGAGGAGGAGAACACCAGCACACCAAGAGACCACATACATGAGTACCGTCCAGCTCACGCTCTCCTTCAGCTACAGTTACAAACAACACACACTGCCTGTCCGAAGTTTGGGGACACCTCACTTTTCACCACACCACAGTGTTTTAATACAAATGTGGGTTTTTGATAACTAATCAAGGGGCTGATCTACTTTTTTGACCTACTGTGAATTGCTGGTAAAAAGTCGTCATGATTTACTAAGTATATGCAAACGTCCAATAGCATCCATAGAAACATCAAGGGTGGGTGGGTGTTGGGGGGTGTTTCTCTCTTTTGCCTCATTGCATATCATTCAAAAAATTAAACTAACATTAAAAAAACAAGTGTCTCCAAACATAGTAACAGGAGAGGGCAAAATGTTCTTAACTTTAAATGGGAGCTAATGTGAAGAGATTTTAGTCCAAATATATTTGGAGCACTTCTATTGGTCCATTCATGATGGAATCTTCACACAATGTAAAGGACAGCTGCTGTGCTCAAATCATATAGATAAAAAATGAAAAAATTCAGATTTTTTAAAAAAAATGAAAAAAATCAGATTTTTATTGGAAAAAAACAGCGATATACATTTATAAGAGTTTCCCTCTCAAAGAGCAAAATACTGGGAGGAGATTATTACAATGAAGCATTTAATTTTACCATTTAACAAGCAAATACTATGATATTAAATACTGATTTTTTCGATTGTAAAACTTTGTAATATTACATGTTGAACACATCCTCTAGAGAACACTTCTGCACATTTGAGTGCACAATTCCTGTTTATTTGATCATTTTAACATACTGAAAAAAAAAACAGTAAAAGTAAATGTTTTATTTTTTCCAATAAAAACTTAGCACAACAATAAAAATTGTGCAATAAGTTTGCAGAAAAATGCCATATTTAATGCGTTCTCTGTAGAGGATGTGTTAACTTTATTTTGACTTAGAAAATCAACAAAACATCATTCGGCCAGGGGTGTTTAAACTTTTGCATACTACTGTAGTATGTCAAAATAATGGCTTATAATCTCGAAACAACTGCACTTTCTCTTTATTTTATCATAACAAGTGACAATATTGAGAAAGTTAGCCGTTATTCAGACATAATAAGTCATTATTTTGACTTATTATTAGAACCACCATGAACAGTCATGACACTGAGGCAGTGTAAACAAGTTCTCTGGAGCAGTAGGTTTGGTTGATGCAGGAGAAACGCCACCTGCCCACATGCTGAGTGCCAACTGTAAAGTTTGGCTGAGGTGGAATAATAAGCTGGGGCTGGTTTTCATTGTTTGCTTTGGGCCCCTTAGTTCCACTGCAGGGAAACCTTTATGCTACAGTGTACAATCACAGTCCAGGGTGTTGTCTGCTTCTAACAAAACAAAAACCAAGGCATAACCAAACATACGTTCAGAATATCGATGTTTTTAATGAGAACTACACAAAAAAAAGCTTCTAAGAATCTCCAAACATACACCACACACTCATGTTCTGACCGTGATGCTGGTGTTGGCGTCGTGTTTGCTGAAGCGGTACAGGATGACGTGGGCGCTGATTCCCACCACGCAGAAGACGCGGCTCTGAGGGCACCAGCTGACCATCTGGACGGCGTAGGGGTCTTCCTCCACCAGCTCCGCACTGCGGCCCACCTCTCCGCCCTTCGGCTTCTCAAACACCTTTGACGTCTTCAGCTTATAGAGCATCTGCAGCGTGACTGACGGGGAGAAGTGGTTATTCCTGCTTTATAAATATTTATAAACACTGTTATTGTTCATCAGTAGATTATAGATAGATAGACTATAGATTCTATCATTAACTTACATTCAACTAAATATATATTAAATATTATACCATTCGTATTATCACTAAACTTAACCTTTCATACACTACATGGCCAAAAGTATGTGGACAACCCTTCTGTTTTCATGGTGCAAAAATTCAGTGTGCCATATGTGTTGGTTCATGAAATTTCTGCTCTGCTAGAGCTGCCCTGGTCAACTGTAAGTGCTTTTATTGTGAAGTGGACACATGTAGGACCATCTCACAACATCTGTGAAGCAGTGGGCCACAGAAGCTCACAGAACAGGACCACCAAGGCCTCGATTACTGAATTCCAAACTGCCTCTGGAAGCAAAGTCAGCACAAGAACTGTTCATCGGGACCTTCAACGATTGCTTTGTGCTTGCTGAGCAGATGCACACAAACTTAAGACCACCATGTGCGATGCTGAGCATCAGTGGGATTGACTGGAAGCACTGGGGTCTGAAGCTAGGCTGCCTGCCCGCATGCCGAGAGCCGACTGTAAAGTTTGGCTGAGGAGGAATAATGAGTCTGAGGCTGTTTTTCAATGTTTGATTTGGGCCCCTCAGTTCCAGTAAAGGGAAATCGTAATGCTACAGTGTATCACAATCTAGAGATCTGTAGGCTTCTAACTTTGTGGAGCAGTTTGAGAAAGACCCTTTCATGTTTTAGCATGACAATTTCTCCATGCACATAGCAAGCTTCATAAAGAGCTGACCTTGTTGACCTCTGTTTTACGGCACCTTTTAAACACTATACTTCACTGTATAGTTAGTAGATAGAGCTATACCCAGTTTGCGTGATTAGCTGGGTGTTTCGAGTGTTTATAAACAGCTTATATCAGTGTTCATATGATAAAATAATACATTTTATGAGTTGTACTGAAGTCTCAAACTAAATTGATGGACATTTGTTCCATTTATAACACTGTTATGAAGCATTAAATGGGAATTATAAAGCAGAGGCCTAGTTAAGAGCTCCACATATCAGTTCTATGAAATTGTATGCTTCATAACAGTGTTATAAATGGGACAAATGTCTGTCACACTGCTTTAATGCCCCTTACGTCAAAACAATGCCATTTACTACATAGAAAATCTTATGTCTTGACTTAAGTGTTGCTTTTTAAGTATGTTATTCAATGCTTATGAATGTGTTATGAAGTCCCTGTGCATGCAGCCTTCAAATGAAGTGCTACCATGCTACAGCCATCTGTGGCTGAGAGTCCAAGAGAGCACAACTGGCCTCGCTCTCTGAGTGGGTAGGATGGCCCCTCCTTCTCCCCCCATCACTAGCGCGATGTTAGTCAGCGCAGGTGTCTGTTAGCTGACATAACAGCCTGTGCTGGCTTTCACCCTCCTAGCGCTGGTGGTATCATGTGACTGTGGGAGTCCTAACTAGTGGGTGGAACTGGACGTGACTAAAGTGGGGAGAAAATTGGGGAAAAAATCTACCAGCTACCACTTTAGTAAAGTTAACGTTAATTGTAGGCCCTATCAAGACTTTGAGTGTTCTCAAGCACGTACACCTGGCCCACAGTGACTAATGCTCCGTCTCTTAAAATAGCTTAGCTCTTTTAAAAAGTTGCTGTCTGGAGATCCAGCAGGAGGGCGCTGAAATGGATTGTGAGGAAATGTTAAAGAAGGGAGTGATCTTATATTGTTTGCTATGAGTTTTTAAGGAGAAGAACAGCTTTAAAAGGTTTGATACGAAGCGTAAGAGTAGCGTTTGACTAACAGAGAGAGGCCGTATTGGACGTTTTAAAGGGTAAAGCACTTACTGGCTGTGGCGTCCCAAAACTTTATCGATCCGTCTGCGTGTCTGCACAAAGTGGAGGTAAAGAAGAAGGACAAAGAGTTAGTGAACGAGTGCGAGTGAGTGCAGAACAGTCAGAATGATGGCAAAAGAGAGGAGGAGAGAGCGAGAGGCGGAGGGAGAGAGCAGCATGCAGCACAGTCAATATTACTATTGAATTAAAGTTACGAAATGTGATCCATTTACCAATAAAGCAGACCGCGAGCGCACATCTGAGACTTTATTGACTTCATGTGAAAACAAAAAAAATCTATAGACAGTTTGAAATAAGCTGATCTTTACCAGGGAGGCCCGTGTGGATGTGTGCAGTCAGCCAGTTTATGTGTTTGTGTGCAGAATGAGGTGATATTCTTCCTCATACTTAACACTTAGAAGTTTCAGCTGTCAGCTGATGTGCAGGGTGTAGTTAAATCTGAATCATTTCTGACTCGTATCTTATAGAAATGAGTGGAGAAACGGTGTGGAAAGTGATTCTAATCTTTCAGTTCACATCACATTTGCGCTTTGAGATAATTCTGATTTGAATTTTATGAAATGTTCCGTCATGTTTTTGTCATTTTTTGACATTAGAACGTAGAAAATTCTCATTCTATAATTATGTATAGGACTGTGCAAAAGTCAGAGACCGTTATTCGTTCTAAAAACATCTACATTGTACACTCACTGTCCACTTTATCAGCTCCACTGACCACATAGGAGCACTTTGTAGTTCTACAATTACAGACTGTAGTCCATCTGTTTCTCTGTACCCTGTTCTTCAGTGGTCAGGACCCCCATGGACCCTCACAGAGCAGGTACTATTTGGGTGGTGGATCATTCTCAGCACTGCAGTAACACTGACGTGGTGGTGGTGTGTTAGTGTGTGTTGCGCTGGTCTGAGTGGATCAGACACAGCAGTGCTGCTGGAGTTTTAAACACTGTGTCCACTCACTGTCCACTCTATTAGACAACCCTACCTTGTCAGTCCACCTTGTAGATGTAAAGTCGGAGACGATAGCTCATCTGCTGCTGCACAGTTTGTATTGGTCATCCTCTAGTCCTTCATCAGTGGTCACAGGACGCTGCCCACAGGACTCTGTTGGCTGGATATTTTTGGTTGGTGGACTATTCTCAGTCCAGCAGTGACACTAAGGTGTTTAAAAACTCCAGCAGCACTGCTGTGTCTGATCCACTCAGACCAGCACAACACACACTAACACACCACCACCATGTCAGTGTTACTGCAGTGCTGAGAATGACCCACCACCCAAATAGTACCTGCTCTGTGGGGGTCCTGACCACTGAAGAACAGGGTGCAGAGAAACAGATGAACTACAGTCTGTAACTGTAGAACTTTAAAGTGCTTCTATATGGTCAGTGGAGCTGATAAAATGGACAATGAAAGTAGAAACAAGGAGGTGGACTTAATGAAGTGGGAGGACAGTGTGTATATACATGCCTTATATACAAAAAAACAGTGGACTGACCACCCTAGAGTCCAGACCTCGACATCATTGAATGTGTTTAGAATTACTTGGATGGTAAGATATAAATAATATTGCAACCAACTTCTAAGACGGAACTTTGGAGGTGGGCTTTTGAAAAACTGAAAGTGAGTCTCCTGAAAAGAACAGAAGCTGTAATAAAGGCAAAATGTGGACACTTTAAATACTGAACAATCTGAAATGTTATTGCTTTGGTGTAATTTTCTGCTTTCTGATGCCAAAAAATGAATAACTGGCGGTTTAGACTAGAAACAAAATAAATAAAGGGTCTCTGAGGTTTGCACAACACTATACTGCAGCAAAACAACAGTAATAAGTTTACACTCTCAGCAAAAAGGCTTCTATGTAGTACCAAACAGATCCAATGGCTTTCCCATCATAGATAAGAACCATTTAACCATGCAAGGAAACATTTATGCGTTCAAATGGCTCTTTGGACCATCACGGTTCTATATAACTGCTACCTTTACCAAAGAACCCCTTTTTTATGGGTTATAATGCAGTGGCTGGGGTCTCTATGCATGTACAAACTTACCCTGTTATAATGATCTCGGGATACGTCTGAGAGCCGATTGTCCACGTCCCTCCACTAACAGGCCACTCCTGAGAAACAAATAACAAACTGCGTCCACATCAGTGCAATTAACAAACAAATTGCCCGGCTGTGAAATAAAGCCAGCCATGCAGGGCAATTACAGAACACCAGATTACAACACAGCCATGAGGCAGAGAAAATGAATAGCTCCTAATAATAAACTAACTTTATAAAACAGATAGTTCTGGTGAAACCTGATTGGTTGGAGCACAGATGAAACACCTTAAGTTACTCAGTATATACATCATATATTAGTGGAATTCTGTATCAATACATCAAGTTTAGAAATATATTTTCTATCTTATATTTGTATTGGTTGTTAGTTTTTTCCTTTGAGGTCAACTTATGATGTTTGTGTAGTTTTATCTACCAAATACATAATGTCTTTTTTATTTTATGACCATTTTCCAGCCTCTCTTTATCCCTTAGAATTAAGGAGGTGTTTTTTGTTACTGTGTCTTTTAGGCTGGTATATGTAAATGAGCTCTGTTCTGATTGGATGCCCTGTATTGTGCCTCATTCAGAAAGCAGTCTGGGCTGAAACACTCCTTATAACTTCAGCATGAATGGGCGGAGCTGAAGTGCTATAAGCTGTATAGGTGTTTATTTGTTAATGTCTTGGTTGTTGCTTGTTTGCCTCTACATCTAAATTGTGACACAATAATATATTTTGACACTTGAAAAACTTTACATCCAACATCAAACAACATCGTTTTCAGTGTTGTGGACCCTATAAAAACATCACGTTGTTTATAGATGGCTTATTTGACTGTTATGTTGCTTGGCAACCATAGCCTACTGTTAATGATCTACATTGCTTGGCAGAAGAATTGGATATTGTGATTCTTATCAATAATAAATTAAACTGAATATTGAAAGTTGGTGCATTTTATCAAACTGTGTTGTTTCGCTGTTTTAAAAAAGCAGAAAAACAAACAAACAAACAAACAAAAAGCCAAAATATGTATTACATTTCTTGAAAAAGGTTCTTTGGGGCAATGCCATAGAAGAAAAAACTACTTTTGGTTCCCTAAGGAACCTTTCAACAGGTGGTTCTTTGGAATACTATAGTTTAAGCACTATGTGAACAGTTCTTTAGGAAACCCAAAGTGGTTCTCTTCTCGCACTGTTCCAACCTTATGTGAGCCAGAGCTTTAGCTGAGCCCGGCCTACCTTGTGGCTGTAGCCGGTCTTTTTGTGCTTTGCCCCAATGGAGTAGAGCACAGGGATGATGTCAGGTGGGCAGTCAGCAAAGTAAACCGTGCAGGTGACCGGAGACTCGTGGACGTCCATGGGATAAGGGTTCTCAAAGATGGGGAAACTGAAAAAAAATATAAACGAAAAACGTTAGCCATAATTCCTTAAACCCCCTTACACTGTTAGAAATAAAGGTTCTGTTCAGGTACATATTCCGTTCATCAAGGTCCAAACAGTGTAAATGTTCCCTCAAAGATTCAACAGTGGTTTTAAGGTCTGATTGTGAACCTTAAATAAGTTTCTCCAGGTGAAAAGTTCATATTTGTACCTTTTCATAACCGAATGTTTTAAAACAGAACAGTAAAATAAAAGCCTGGAGGCGAGACGGGGTGTGTGGAGTCAGTACAGCTTAGAACATATCATTTCAGTGGATTATGGTTCAGTTATGTTCCCTGACTAAAGGTACTGAGATGGACCCTTGAGGGTCCCACCCCAGTGACAAGAGGGGCACTGCCCCAGAGACAGTTTACTACCTTTATTTCTGAGAGTGTACGTGACCAGGGGCCCAAAGTTTAATTACACACTTCTATAACCTAAGAATAGCTCAGACAGTTTGTATTGAAGTCCCTATAATTACTGAATAATAAGCTGTAGTGTGTAATAAGCCTGGGATTTTAAGGGGTTAAACAACCCTAAAAGCTCCCTAATGTGTGGTCAGTGATCCATTTTTTGTCACCTTTAACTGATTAAACTCTGCCCTTAAAGAAGTGGGTGAGTGTGAATGTCCAGTGGTCATAGCAACATGGATCAGCATGTGGAACTGCAGCTTTCTGTGAGCTACTATGTTTCCTATCGCTGTGTAAAAGAAGCTCCACTGCTTTTATTGATGGATGCAGTACGAGAGTTTCTGAGTGCACACATTCAGAATGGAGTCCACATTGCTTTACAAATGCTTATTACTAATTTATTTCATACGAGGACCAATAAAAGGCAGCTAAAGTGATGTATCTTCCTGTTCATGTGTCTTCTTGAACAAAAAGGTCTAAAATCTTTGAATCTTCAGCACTACATAGGGAACAGTAACTATCTTATTTATATGTTGGATGAGTATCCACAAACGTGTGTATGTATAGTGTAGTTTCAGGTGGGTGATCTCAGCGATAGGAAACTTTCAACCCACCATTTGGGACTAAGGAGGTAAAAGGAAAGCTGAGTTTACCCCTGACAGTCCATTTAAAAGAGAACAAAATCAGGTGAACTTTGAAGCTTGAAAATGTTTTTAACATGTAAGCTTTATTTCTGCTTAATGTTGTCCTCAGAGTGGCCTTGCCGCAAAGTAAACATTTGATGTGAAACTGGCAACCGTCTCTAGAGTGACTTAAAAACATCCACAGTTCTGGGTCGACCTTGCCTCCATCTTTGAATAATGACACTGACTGACAAAGCTGTATGTTCATATATGAACTCATTCCATCCCATTCTAAATCCATAGGCATTAATATGGAGCTGGTCCCCCTTTGCAGCTGTAACAGCCTCCACTCTTCTGGGAAGCTTCTACAAGATGTTGGAGAGTGTCTGTGGGAATTTCTGCCCATTCATCCAGAAGAGCATTTGTGAGGTCAGACACTGATGTTGGACGAGAGGGCCTGACTCACAATCTCCGTTCTAGTTCATCCCAAAGGTGTGTGATGGGGTTGAGGTCAGGGCTCTGTGAGGGCCAGTCAAGTTCTTCCTCACCAAACTCACCCAGTCAGGCCTTTATGGAGCTGCTTAGTCATGCTGGAACAGAAAAGGTTCTTCCCCAAACTGTTCCCACAAAGTTGGAAGCATAGAATTGTCCTAAATGTCTTGGTGCTGAAGCATTAAGATTTCCCTTCAGTGGAACTAAGGGTTCTGGACCAACCCCTGAAAAACAGGCCCATATCATCATCCCTCCTCCACCCAACTCACAAGCTGGCACAGTGCAGTCAGGCAGGTAACGTTCTCCTGGCATTCGCCAAACCCAGACTCGTCCATCAGACTGACAGATAGAGAAGCTGATTCATCACTACACAGAATACATTTCACTGCTCCAGAGTCCAGTGGTGGCGCTTTACACCCCTCCATACAACGCTTTCCATTGTGCTTGGTGACGTAAGGCTTGCATGCAGCTGCTCAGTCATGGAAACCATGAAGCTCCTGCTGCAGTTTTTGTGCTGATGTTGATGCCAGTGGAGGTTTGAACTCTGCAGTTATTGGTTCAGCAGAGTGTTGGTGACTTTTATGCTCTATGCTCCTCAGTGCTCGGCGACAAGCTCTGTAACTTTACCTGGTCTGACACTTCGTAGCTGAGTTGCTGTGGTTCCTAAACACTTCCACTTTGTAATAAAACCACTCACAGTTGATCGTGGAACATCTAGTAGTGAAAAAATTTAGCAAACTGACTTGCTGCAATGGTGACATCCTATTAGAGCACCACGCCTGAATCCAGTGAGCTTTTTAGACCCATTCTTTCACTAATGTGTGTAAAGGTAAACTGCATGGCTGGGTGCTTGATTTTATACACCTGTGGCAATAGGACTGAATGAAACACCTGAATTCAGTGATTAAGAGGTGAGTCTCTATGTAATAATAATATGTCCCATATGTTTTATAGATATGTAGGTACCCCTATGAACGAATTTGGCTGATGAGTCTAAATTTTAGATCTCTGGAAGTGACAGCTGACATCTTGTATGCTAATGAGTACTATCAAATCTGAATACATTACAACGCCCCCTAGAAAACTTTTGATTATTAAGAAATTCATTCTACAGCAGGATAACAACCCCAAGTGCACTGCAGAGGCAATCAAGATGTATTTATCAAACAAAGAAGCTGCTGGTGTCCCCAGAATAATGGACTGACCACCCCAGAGTCCAGACCTCAACATCAGTGAACGTGTTTGGAAGTAGAAAATGCTAAACAAACTTCTATGACTGAAGTTTGGAGGTGGGCAAAAAGTCTCCTGAAAAGAACAGAAGCTGCAATAAATTCTGAAAAAAAATATATTTTGTGTTTGAGGCTTCTGTTAAATATGTCTTCTGATTTTTTCCTGAAAATGTTCCTAAAAAATGAATAATGTAATGTACTTAAGGGCTGTTTTGACTAGAAATTAAAATAACTGATAGGTGGGTCTCTGACTTTTGATAGTTTTGTAATAATAATGTTCCAGATATAGATTATCCATATGTAGACTCCTCTATGTAATAATAATGTGTCCCATATGTAACACATATATATGTAGGTTGCCTTGTTTTTTCACCCCTGAAACCGTATGAAAACAAACACTCACGCACACACACACCTGTGTCCTGGGTGTTGAGAGGTGTTACTGCAGGGCAGAGACACTGTTATCTGTGGTGTGAAGTGTGTGTGTGTGTGTGTGTGTGTGTGTGTGTGTGTGTGTGTACTTACTTGCTCTGTGTGAGATCCACTACAATGAAATCTTTCTCCAACAGCACCACCACAGCGTACGGCTCCTGCACCTCTGTTACAACACAAACACGGCGCTCTGACTGTGGTGTTTAAAGCTTTAACACATTTAGAAAAGATTGATCAGCATGTTGTTAACATTATATTAACACTGTTAACGTCTGTCCCCCTAAAATCGGTCACCCCTAATTTTCAGCCACTTCTGAACATCACATATTCCACTTACTGCATTTGGTAGACACTCTTCACCAGAGCAACTTACAATTCAATCATTTTTACACAGGTTGGTGAAGGTAGTGTTGGGAGTCTTACCCAAGAACTCTTATTGGTGTAGTGTAGGGTGCTTACCCAGGTGGGGATTGAACCCCAGTCTACAGCATAGAAGGCAGAGGTGTTACCCACTACACTACACCAAACACCACACCTCTTTACTCCCCAATCGCTGTGAGGAAATTCATAAACGAAAGCACTCACCTTAGTAGGCCTTTTAAACTTTAGTCTTGCAAGAAATCACAACGTCATTATTGAAAAAAGTATTTTCTTTGAAAGTCTAACGAGTCTTGGACATTAATCCGCACATATACCTCCTGAAAACATTAATGTGGGTGAGTAAAGTAGTTTAATTTATTTATGGGTAGCTTAGATAATTGTACATGAGCATAATCATATGCTTGTGTTGTGACACTGAAACCAAACTTCTGGCTTTAAGTCATTCTGTAATGAGATAGTATGAGTTAGGGAGAGAGATAAGAGAAAAGAGAGAGAGAGGGAGAGAGATAAGAGAAAAGAGAGAGGGAGAGAGATAAGAGAGAGAGAGGGAGAGAGATGAGAGAAAAGAGAGAGAAAGGGAGAAAGATGAGAGAAAAGAGAGAGAGGGGGAGAGAGATGAGAGGGAGAGAGAGAGAGAGGGAGAGAGATAAGGGAAAAGAGAGAGAGGGAGAGAGATGAGAGAAAAGAGAGAGAGAGAGGGAGAGAGATAAGAGAGACAGAGAGAGATGAGAGGGGGAGAGAGAGAGAGAGGGAGAGAGATAAGAGAAGAGAGAGAGAGAGGGAGAGAGATGCAAGTAAAGAGAGAGAGAGGGAGAGAGATGAGAGTAAAGGAGAGAGGGAGCAAGATGAGAGAAAAGGGAGAGAGAGGGGGAGAGAGATGAGAGAAAAGGGAGAGAGATGAGAGAAAATGGAAAGAGAGGGAGAGAGATGAGAGAAAAGGGAGAGAGAGGGAGAGAGATGAGAGAAAAGAAAGAGAAAGAGGGAGAGAGATGAGAGAAAAGGAGAGAGAGAGAGAATGACGGAGAGATAAGAGACAAGGAGAGAGAGATAGAAAGAGAGAGAGAGTGAGAGGAAGAGAAGAGAAAAGAGAGAGAAAGAGAAAGAGAGGGAGAGAGATGAGAGAAAAGGAGAAAGTGAGATAACAGAAAACAACATAGATAAAGAGAGAGAAAGAGAGAAAGACAGAAGAGAAAAGAGAGAGAAAGAAAGAACAGAACCGAAAAGTAGAGCGAGAGAGACAGAGATAAATCAGAGAGAGAGAGAGAGAGAGAGAGAGAAAGAGAGAGAGTTAATCTGGCTCAGGATTGATTGAAGGAGAAAAACGTCTCTTCTTCACTTTTCATTTACTCGCATTTCATCACAGTCAAACCTCTGAAATGTAAACTTTACAGGAGAAAGAAAAACACTATTAACATTCTTAATGGGGCTGTCGCTGTTGATCAAATTCATACTGAGTAATATTCAGACAATTTCAATGAATAATTGAGCAATTAGGGTTTTTAAAACGAGCCCAACAATAATTTAAAAACCTGTTGAATTTGAGTTCTAATCTGGTTTTTATTAAACGTCACACAGTGACAGGATCTCTCCACCACTGTGTGCGTTTAAACTACTGGACAAATCAGGAGAGAGAGTAGATCATGTGATAAGCGATCGTTAATTTATTGACAGTATCATTATTTAGTGAAATGTTTTTCTGACTTACAGATTGTTTTTCGGTTGCAAGATAGTCGCTATAGTGACCCTACATGCTTAACATCCCTGCTGATCCATGCAGTTTCACTACTATGGCTTTTCTTGAGCTCTGTGCTCGGATTCGGCTCCTTCAGTTTTGGGGCTGCCAATGACCCAGTGCCCCCTGTAGAGCCCCCTAGCAACTATGAACGTCATATTCATTGCATGTGGCAGCTTGGTTATGTCCATTGGACTGAAGGCTGAGGGTTTTTTAACCGAAGAATGTAATAAGATGTTACCGTTGAGATACGGCGTTTCACACAGCACAGTGAACTCCACGATTGGGTGGTCCATCTCCAGCACCGTGATGGCCTTTCCGTGCATGATGGTCAGAGTGGGTCTGCGTCCAGCTTTATCGTACGACAGACCTCCAGAGAAGATCACAAAGGGCTCACTGAGGGAGAGAGAGAGAGAGAAAGAGAGAGGGAAACAGAGTGAGTAAGAGAGAGAGAAAGAGAACAGAGAGAGAGGTAGGGAGAGAGACACAGAGAGAGAGACAGAAAGAGAGAGAGAGAGAGAGAGAGAGAGAAAGAGAGAGAGACAGAGAGAAAGGGAGAGAACAAGGCAGAGAGTGAAGCAGAGAGATAAGAGAAAAGGAGAGAGAGTGAGAGAGATAGAGAAGCGAAAAAGAGAGCGAGAGAGAATAAGGGATAGAGTGAGGGAGAGAGATAAGAAAAAAGAAGAGAAAGCAAGAGAAAGAAAGAAGAGAAAAAAGAGAGAAGACAGACAGAGACATAGGAAGAAACAGAGAGAGTGAGGAACGGAGAAAAAATAATAAAAGAGAAAAAAAAGAAAAAAAATGAAAGACAGATAAGCCAGGAAAAGAGAGACAAAGAGAAAGAAAGAGAGAGATAAGAGAGAAAAGAGAGAGAGAGTTCATTTAGCTCAGGATGGATTAAAAGAGAAAAATGGCTATTTTTCCTTTAATTTACATCCATTTACATTTCATTTGCATTTCATCACAGTCGTACCTCTGAAATGTAAACTTTACAGGAGGAAGGAAAATGCTGAGGCTCTTAATGGGGCTGTTACTAATGATGATATTCATAATTGAGTAATATTCCTATTATTTTACTGATTACCTGAATAGTCAAACGGGCCAAACAATAAAAATGAACTTAATAAATTGAATAATAAACCACGCAGGGCTTTTCAGGATTTCCAAATACATTACTGGTAAAAGATAAATTAGAAAGCCTTTAAAAAGACTTTGATTAATAAATATAAAACACTAGATGGTAAATAATGCAGATAAATGAATGAGTCCCTCAGTTTAAGGCCACCACACAGCGCCATGTTGAATGCATAGCAGATACAGTATGAGGTGCTGCTATACCACACAGTGTGTTGCAGTGACAGTGACAAACATCAAGATGAAGTACATTTTTACACTCTACTCATACAAATCTAACGCAATAAAACTTTGAACATCATTTATCACGCTTGGAGTCGGTTTACTAGCTCTTCACTAAGTCCAGCTGAAAGACACAAGGTGAAAAGTTGTTTATCTAAATACTGGCTGCCTGTCTCTGTGTAAACTTCACACCTACTGTGATCTACTGTGGCTTCTATTTCACGTAATACTGGCAAAATGCTGAGCGGTTTACATGCACTTGAGTAATCAGATAATGTCAAACTCCAGGTCTACATGAGTCAGACAGTAATCACATTTCTGCTTTGCAACCAGCCAATAAACTCACAGAAGAAGACGTGACGTAAAACTCGAAACTTCATGAGGGGCTTTTTTTTTAAACATTGCGCCACTTTACCTGAAAATATGAATGCACATCATCTAGAAGATGAAGAATACTTAAATCTTTCATTTTGTCAAGCATGTATTTGGTTTCAGCGTCACTCCAAAAGTGTTTTGCCGCGTCTCGCGGCGACGCTGCTCGCTTATTTCCGGTACCGCAGTCTTTTTTCGCACATGCTCAGACTGAGAAATCAGAAAGAAATCAGAGTAAGAGTTCACATGCACTGAGAAATCTGATTACTGAGCTAAAATCCAGCCTCCTTATCAGATTTCTTAATCAGATTTCTAGACCTTACTCTGATGAGTGAGCTGTTTACACAACCATTTGAATAATCAGATAACTGCAGAAATCCGATGTGATACAGTAAGAAGAAGAAGAAGTAAGAAGAATTTAAAACCTGCATTATTATCATGCAAACTGATATCTAATGACTGCTGATTCATTGAGAATGTAAATTTTATCAATTTTTTATCAATTTTTTTCAAGTAATCAGGTTTAATTGTGACAATTCTGTGCAAAATAGCCATTAAAAAGCCACTTAAAACTCACTTAAAGCTGCAGCTCAGCACTATAGGCAATAAACAAACGTGTCCAAAATTTATGTTAATTATTTCTGGCTCGTAGATCATTGATACAGGCAGAGAAATGGTGTGGAAATCGCAGATTCTATACTTTCAATCAATACCACATTCCTGTTTGTGAGTAGAAGAGGAGATATTATATTATGATTTGAATTTAATGAAAAGTTATGTTATGTACACTCCTGTTTTGCAGAAAAAAATCAGTCTTTACATTTTTACCATAGTTTTGTAATTCTGTAACACTGAAAACGTCGAAAGTGGGAACCTGTAGCTAAAGATAGACAGTAATAGCTCTAGAGCTGTAAGGGTTAACAGTCAGTGTATTTTAAGTGAGTAACTGATACTGTAACCACATAGGTCAACACGTCAATCTGAATATGTTATTTGAAATGCACAAACCACCAACAATCAATACTGTGCCCGCCCAACAGCGGCAATGAAACCAAACCACTGCTTACAGTTACCCTCGCCACAACTGACCACATGCTGAAGATCTGGGTTACTGTAGAATTATAATAGAAGTCAATGAGCAGGTAATGAAGCCTATAGTTATTAGTCATTTTGATATATTATTGAAATCTAATTATGTAATAACATTGTTATACCAAATGGCTTATTTGTTGAAATTTTAAAGATGTTTTTCATTTAAAAAGCATTGCTATAGCAGTGTTATAGCAACAATAATGGACAAAATGAGCTCAGTCATAGTGTACTTATTACTTTCAGTGGTTCAGTAACATTACTTTCATTATGTGAATGCATAGAGCTTTACAATGAAGGCTCTGGAGCTAGCGCTTCACTTTCCTATTGATTTCATTAATTTGCTACTGGTTGATCTGGCCATAGCTCTCTTGCCAGCATTGTCCAGTGTGGTTAAAGTATCCCTTTAAAAACTTTTAAAAACTGTATTTGAACAAGAGGGTTATAATTGTGGATTCTATCCAGCTGGGCTTCAGTCTGCTCTACTACAGATGGGGCAAAATAGGCAAATGTGTTCACAGCATAAAAAAATCAGTGCCATTAAAAATTTAACATGCTAACTTTAATATTTGTAGATTAATTACACAAACATGGTATTGTATTTACATTCAGTTTATATTTTAGAGGTTCAAGTCTGCACTTCTGAGTAGACACAATGACTTTTCATCAAATTCAAAACGTACAAAACCAGATTCATAAAACTTGGCAGTATCAGTGCTACACCAAGAAAAATGTATGGCACAGTAAATAAGAGCTATTCATAAAGTCACTGTGGTGGTGATCAGCGAGTTGGCGTATTTTTGACACTGCAGTATTTTCACCGGTGTCCTAGACAAGAGCCAATCAAAATCCACATGCAAATGAAGCCATACATATTAAAGACCCTCCAAGTGAAGCTTTGGTCGGCTGCCAAAATGAATACAATGAAAGAAATGAAAAAAACTAAGAAAACCAAAATTCTCAGAAACAGAGCTACGAATTTTAAAGGAAGAAAATGGCAATTACAAGTAAACTGTAAGAGATATAATTAGATATAATTATATCTCTATAATTTGAATTCCATTTCAGCAGGAAAGATTTTATTTCTCATTAGTAAGAATTCAAGCTTTTTTCCCATTTTATTATAAATTTAGTAACAACTTTTACTAACAGAAATTAAAATTTTGTACATTTTGAAAAACATTTTGTCACATAATTAAACATTAAACTGACATGCTGAAATTCACAGTGCTACAACAGCTTGTCTTTATCTCAGAAATTCAATTTACACACAAACCTTAATTTCCAACTAGTAAATATTTAATTTTTGATATCATGAATTCAATTTGCATGTGTAAAAATGAACATTCCACTAGTAAATATTACATTTTGACTAGCAAAAATGAATTTGTGACAGTAAAATGCCATTTCATATGTGTAAATTGAATTTCTTTGTAACATTCAATGTAAATTGATAAATAGGATTAAAAGCTAAAACCGCTTGCAAGAAAATATAACAAATACAACTTTTAAGAATTGGAAATTTTTGTCACATAATTAAAAATTAAATCGACAAGTTGAAATTCAGATTGCTACAAGAGCTTCTATTTCCTACTTTTCTTGATCTCAGGAATTCAATTTACACACCCAAACCTTAATTTCCAACTAATAAAATTACATTTCTTCTATCATGGTTTGAATTTGCATGAGTGAAAATTAAAATTCCACTAGTAAATATTATATTTTGACCATTAAAATTAATTTGTCATAGTAAAATGCCATTTTCAAGTGTAAATTGAATTTCTTCCTAAAATTCAATGTAAATTGAAAAATACAATTGAAAGCTAAAACTGCTTGCAATGAAATCAATTAGAACATGTAATTAGAATCTCAACATGTCAAATTAATCCATTACTCCACAGCTAAACCTACTTTCCATTCAGACGATGTTGTTTATGGATGAACTTGTTACCATCTTGATATTTTACTCTTATATCATAGTAAATCTGGCAGTGTGGTTTATGAATGTGGCCCAAATTCTCCTCTTACTTACAAACATAAATGTGAAAGATTAGAATCTAAACTTTTGACAAAATTTCATCACTTGTTTCAGTGAAGCATCTGCCCACTGACTTCTGCTAAACATAACTTCTGAGTTCGCAATTTTTCTGTTTATTTCCAAGTAAAGAAAACTTCTTGTCCGTGTTAATCGACCATACGCCAAAGATGATCCAGACAGAGATTATGCTGAAAAATGCTTCAGTGTCCCTTTAAGACTGTGAACCTGCCTCGTTAAACCGCAGTCACAGAGGTAATTTCATCTGTATCTGCCATCTAGCAGCTTAATATGACCATGAACTCATCTCATAAGCCCTGTTGATAAGAGGCCTGACATTTCCCACAGCACATGTGCACGGTTAACGTGGCCGGGTGGCCTTTCCAATTCACGCTTTCTATGAAACCAGGACCTCTTTCCTATAATTGGTCTGCTAAAAGCCCCATAAGACGGAAAAGAAGGAAAACTGAACTTTCCTCAATTTTACAGTCCACTGCTTTTGTCATGTCACGAAAACCGAGACATTTGAATTTATTCGCCTATTCAGACTACAGCTGTATGACTACTGCAGTTTAGCCCCGCCCCTTCACACCGATTTTTAAGGAGCGTTTCAGCCTGGATTGCTTTCTGAATGAGGCTCAAGACAGGACAGCCAATCAGAGCAGAGCTTACTATCATTATTATTGTTTTTCTCTTTTTTCGTATTTTTCTGCCGGATTTTTGTCCGCTAACTCCTGCTGCAGTTTTGAGATATCAACACCATTCCAGTGTTCGGTCTGATTGGGAATGTAGTGCTTTTATACAGCCTTCTGATCCAACAAACGGTTTTCGTGCAATCTTCGTTAAATTCAGAGTTTTTTTGTCATAGCAGTCCTCTATGTGTCTAGCAACCACATGGGATACTATTCTCGCGTTTCGAGTGATGTCACACTGCATTTTGATGACCGAATCAGGGAGTGACTGAGCTGCACGATGCCTTCAATTTGCTGTGCTTTGTGAATGATTCACCTGCAAGACGCGACAGAAGCAGAGAGATGAGAGACACACAGACCTTTAATTCAGTGTTTCCACTCCAGGCTTGGAGCCTCTGCACTGTATAGTTCAGTGTTTCTCTCTGCTGTTCACCTCGTTCAGCTCAAGAAGGGATTAATTAGCTAATAATATCAGTTATTTTAACCAGGAAACCACAGTTATGCAGTGCAGGGGTTGCAGGACTGGAGCTGAACTCTGAACTAACTGCACTAGCAAACTTACAGAATCACATCTGTCGGAACACGACGTCGTTTTCCGACCCACGACATTCAGTCTGATATTTAACGCTTATGTTTCTCCATTCAAACGTCATTTAAATCTCCAGAAACAGAGAGTAAAGTAAAAATACTGTCTGTCTGCAGCTCCGTTAGGGGGACGACTGTTTATCTCTCGGCTGTTAACATCAGCTACAGTTATCTAAAGGCCAGCATTGATCACATCTGTGTTAATTAGCTGATGTTGTTACCCTCCTATGATGACAGAGTGTTTTCTCCTCTTTATGCAACACCATGGAATCCTTTACCCACCCTGACATGAAGAGCTGGTGGGCTTCTGTGCTTTTAAATGCTTTGAGAGACTCTCCAGAATAGGGAGAGGGGCTGAGTATGAGATGAATATAAATGTCAGGAAAACAAATTTGGTAGCTTTTCCGTCAGTATAAGTGGGACCAGGAGTTCAGAGGGGAAACTGTATAAGGATGTCAGGATTCTCTTCCAAAGTGAGGAGAGTAATTTCAGCCATCTTTCACCTCTAGTTACATTCGTGCGGAGCAGCGAGGGCCAGGAATTCCGTCCCAAATATGGCGGCCACAACAGAAACATCACGTGACTGTAAACCCTAGGAAAGCAACCACCTAGCAACACCTCAGCACCCACCTGGAATTCCACAGCAACTACTTATTAACACACCATAGCAACCGCCTGGCAACACCTTAGCACCTAGCTGTGCAATCACTCTGCAATTTCTTCGGGAAATGCACTATTCTAGTTTACATATATCAGCCTATATATCAGGCACAGTGACCAAAAAGCCTGTTTAATTCTCAGGGATAAAAAAACCTCAGGGGAAAATAAATTATCACTGATTTTGGTATATAAACCCATTCAAATGCTGTGAGTGGACCTCACATGAAGAAATGCATGAGACTGGCCCTTTAAAGATAAAAGCCCAGCTTTTTAAAATGGCAGCATAAACACAGTAGAATCAAAAAGCAGCACAGCACAATCAGAAAAGCTATTCAAGCAGAAGAGCATGAAAATTTGGACGTGCAGTCACTCGCTAGCAACCAAACACCGGAACAGAAAGAACAAGCAATCAAAGACGGAGAGCGATCAGACGATTGTTCCTGATTTGTTTACAGAGACGGAAAAAAACAAGCTTTCAAACCCGAGTGGGGAATTTTTTATGCATTTTGATGAGATTAAACAGCAGGAAGAGTCTCACATGCTTAGCAAAAAGGGTTCTGTACAGCCCCCCAGCCCCCTCCAACCCCTCATAACACCCCAACCCCCCCACCAAACAACAAAAAAAAGGTTTCGTGTCTTAGAACAACAGTGGAACTCTTTTTGGTGCTACATAGAACCAACAGAACATATTTTGTAAATGGATATTTAAAGAGCTATACTCTAATGTAACTATACATATTAATAACAACAACAACAGACAGCAAAATGATAATGTTGCTATTACTACTACCACTACTACTACTGCTAATAATGATAATAATAATAAAGAAACGCATGAGGAACCTCTTTGTCTACGAATGTAGGTAAAAATCCCCCAGTGAACCTCTAGAACTACATTACCCAGCATTCAAAGCACAAGGTCCACTTGTGTAAAAAAACAGTGTATAACAGTGTAAAAATGCATCAGCGCATCAAGTCTGCAGTCCTTTCATGGTCAAAAATTCCTATGCTATATTTTTTACACGTAAAATCCAAAAAAGTATATTGTCTTCTACTGTGTTAAAACTAATCAAATGACATGAAATGAGAGATTTTATGGTGCACTGAACCGTTTCATAATCGAATCCAAATGAATCGTGATCAAATCTGAGATTTCATTATGAATTGAACTGATTTTCTAAAGATTTGTATTTAAATTATGATGCACTGAATCATTTTCTAAAAAAACTATAAATGAATCAAACTGAATCATTGCAAACATTGAGAATGATGCACTGAATCGTTCCCAAAGAATTGAAATTGAATCGCTCAGAGGTTTGCAGCGCTGGGTGTTTAGTGTCTGAAAGGAGTGTTTGTGTGTGTGTGCGCGTGTGCGTGTGGATGTGCGTGTGTGTGTGTGTGTGTGTGCGTGCACGTGTGCATGTGTTTGCGTGTGTGTGTGTGTGTGTGTGTGTGCGTGCACGTGTGCATGTGTTTGCGTGTGTGTGTGTGTGTGTGTGCGTGTGCACGTGTGCGTGTGTGTGCATGTGTGTGTGCATGTGGGTGTGCGTGTGTGTGTGTGCTCACCTGTTTCTGCAGGTCTTGTACTCCACTTTAAGAATTGGTTTACATGATTCTTTCCTGCCGTCTCTTTGAGATTTACCTGAAACAAACAAAAAACTTTCATATAATATGTCCTACTTGTAAGTATCTATAATGTATGTAATAGTAATATGTCTCATTTGTAATATATGTATATGTGCAAGTATTTATGTGTAACAACAATGTCCAATTTGTATTGTACTTCATATATGCCAGTATCTGTACGTACACACACACACACACACACACACACACACACACACACACATATCATCAAAACCGCTTATCCTTCTGGGTTTGGGGGGGTGCTGGAGCCTATCCCAGCTGTCATTGGGCTGAAGGCTCAGGATACACCCTGGGCAGGTCGCCAGTTCATCGCAGGACAGACAGACAGACAGACACGCACACACACATTCACACTAATTTAGCGTGTCCAGTTGGCCTAACAGCATGTCTTTGGGAGGAGAGTCACGCAGACACGGGGAAAACATACAAACTCCACACAGAAAGGACCCGAGCATCAAACCCAGGCCCTTCTTGCTGTAGATATATAGATATATAGATATAGATATAGATATATAGATATAGATATATAGATATATATATATATAGATACATTCATACATATATATAATCTATATATCTATATCTATATATCTATCTATCTATATATATAATAGTCTCTAAATGTAATAAGAATGTCTCATATGTATTATATATAAATCGCTGTTATCAGAACTTATAATGTAAGTCAATGGAACCAGACTTTTTTTCGTCCATGTCATTTTAGGCCATTTCTTTTGGTCCATTCATCATGAAATTTACCCACAGTGTAAAGACCAGCATGTGTTTTCAAATTATGTCAAAAACTAAAAAACGAGATACGTTTCTCCAAAAATGGAGATACGAGGTTTTGTTCAGACAATATGCAAATCCTTTTATGTCATAATAATGTCCCACATGTGTTATACATACACAAGTCCCTATATGTAATATGTTCCATATGTTTTATGTATGTGTATGTACATATATGTAAAAAAAATATGCCCCATATGTATTATATATGTTTAAGAATGTGGTTTAAATTGAGTCACGGTGAAGTGTCAGGTTATTAAATCATTTTCTGAAGAATCAGAATTGAATTTTGTATGTATAAGCATATAAATGTAATAATAATGTGTGTATGTATATGTACACATAGTAAGAACTGACTAACCCTAATCGTAAGCCCAGCCTCAATCTTAACCTCGGGAGCCAATAGGAAATGGTTTAGCTTTTTCAGTTTTGAAAAAAAATGACACACTGAGTTCTGGTAAAAAGCACTTTATAAAGTCAGCAGCTTATGTTGGTCTTGTATGTAAAACTGTTCTTCTCTAGTTTTACTACAAAAACTATTTTGTCTTGCAAACACACACACACTTCCCGTCCTCCTCCAGGCTCGGCTCAGTGTCCATTCTAGCTGTGGGTAGTGGCGAGGCGGCCGTGCAGGCGCTCCGAATGAATAAATTATTAGAAGATGACTCATGTATGAAGTTGGCCACGGCTAATCTCTCTGTGTGCGTGTTACTAGTGTGACTCCACTCTAAAATGAATGAGACATCAGAGCAGTGATCTAACTGCCAACTAATTCACTTTCCTAGCCCATCAAATTGATTACAGCTGTATGCAAAATTTGGGAACCCTGACCGAAGGACTTATTCTGTTGATTTTTTAAATACAAATGACTGCAACAAACTTCTTAAAACATAACAGCTTTCCACAAAAGTTAATGCACACTTATGTTATATTTCATTCACTTAAAAACAAAAGAATGATTAGTAATACGGGCATGTGCAAAAATGTGGACACCCTATGAAGTCAGTACTCAGTAACATCCTCTTGGGTAGAGCTCACAGCCTGCAAAAGCTTTTGTTAGCCAGCTAGGAGTCTTTCTGTTATTGTTTTAGGAATTTTCACCCACTCCTCCTCCTTTGAAACGACATTAAACGGAGATAATACAGTGGTTATCATAATGTTTTAACGTAGTGTTTTTCTTTGGTCACTTGCGCAGCCATCTTGCAGTTTTTTCTTTTTATCTTTTCTACGTTTGGAGGGCCATGTAGGCCTAACACTTCGCCCTGCCCCTGCATCTCAACAAATTAGGACACCCTAACCCAAGGTGTGAATGTGCAAAAAAAATTATATATATATACATATATCCATCCATCCATCATCTAAACCGCTTATCCTTCTGGGTCACGGTGGGGTGCTGGAGCCTATCCCAGCTGTCATTGGGCGGAAGGCAGGATACACCCTGGACAGGTCGCCAGTCCATCGCAGGGCAGACAGACAGACATACACATTCACACAAACACTCACACCTAGGGGCAATTTAGTGTGTCCAATCAGCCTGACTGCATGTTTTTGGAATATGGGAAGAAACCGGAGTACCCGGAGGAAACCCACGCAGACACGGGGAGAACAGGCAAACTCCACACAGAAAGGACCCTGGTCACCTGGCCAGGAATCGAACCCAGGCCCTTCTTGCTGTGAGGCGACAGCGCTACCCACTGCGCCACCGTGCCGCCCCTCTATCTATCTATATATATATATATATATATATATAGACACTGATCAGGCATAACATTATGACCACCCCCTTGTTTCTACGCTCATTGTCCATTTTATCAGCTCCACTTACTATATAGGTGCACTTTGTAGTTCTACAGTTACAGACTGTAGTCCATCTGTTTCTCTGCATACTTTGTTAGCCCTATTTTACCCTGTTCTTCAGTGGTCAGGACCCCCATGGACCCTCACAGAGCAGGTACTATTTGGGTGGTGGATCATTCTCAGCACTGCAGTAACACTGACGTGGTGGTGTTGTGTTAGTGTGTGTTGCGCTGGTCTGAGTGGATCAGACACAGCAGTGCTGCTGGAGGTTCAGTGTCACTGCTGGACTGAGAATAGTCCACCAACCAAAAATATCCAGCCAATAGCGTCCTGTGACCACTGATGAAGGACTAGAGGATGACCAACACAAACTGTGCAGCAGCAGATGAGCTATCGTCTCTGACTTTACATCTGCAAGGTGGACTGACAAGGTAGGAGTGTCTAATAGAGTGGACAGTGAGTGGACACAGAGTAAAAAAAACAGGAGCACTGCTGTGTCTGATCCGCTCGTACCAGCACAACACACACTAACACACCACCACCACGTCAGTGTTACTGCAATGCCCGATCATAATGTTATGCCTGATCGATGTATAGATATATATACATATATATATATACATACACATATATCGCTGCTGTAGCGACAAAACCTTGTATCTCCATTTTTGTCATTTTTCAGTTTTTGACATAATTTAAAAATGCCTGTTGTTCTTTGCATTGTCTATAAATTTCATGATAAATGGACCAAAAGTAATGGCCAGAAATGACTTGGAAAAATGTCTGGTTCCATTGACTTACATTAAACGCAAAGTATGTTTTTATATATATATATATATATATATATACCACAAACCCTATAAACCTCTTTCTATTTGTAATATGCTTAAGTTATGTTACATGAATAAAGCATGTTGAGCACACTGAACATGTCTTCTCACCATGAGGGAAGGTGACCTGGAAGGGTTTGGCTGTGTTCCTCAGGTTCCACATGCTTAAACTTCCATCAGAGTGACTGCACATGAACTGACGACCTTCATGATGCCAACTCACTGAGTGAATCGCCTAGAGAGAGAATCAGAGAGAGAGAGAAAACATATGTACTGAAGAGTCCACCCGTCGTCTATGGAATTTCCACCAAAACAGACATTAGGTACAAGTTGTTCTTTTTCCAGGAGATATTTTTGGGAAGATTAGATAGAAAATAAGCCACTTGCACTTGAAATCCACTCGAAAATAAATCAAATATAGGAGTTTCAAAAACTGGAGTTCAAAAAATGATTGAAAGAAGCTACAGAGAAAATGGAACTCCTAACTACCCTACAAGACCTGGTAGACGACCAACATGTCCCCATCAGATAAACAGCACGTAAAGCTTTCATCTCTGAGAGAGAGGAGAAAATCAAGCTGCTTCAGATCTGAAAACATCCACAGGTGTTTCTGTCCATCCTTCCACTGTGAGAAGACGACTCAGCGCTGTGGGTCTGAAAGGATGTGTAGCTGTCAAGAAGAACCTCACTGAGAAAAGGAGACGGACACATCAAACAAAGAAGCTGAACAGTGGACTGACCACCCCAGAGTCCAGACCTCAACACCACCGAATGTGTTTGGGATTGTTTGGATGGTCAGAGCAGAAGGTACAACCAACTTCTAAGACTGAACTTTGGAGGTGTGGAAGAATATCCCTGCATAGTTCTTTGAAAACAAAGACAATGGAAGCTATAATAAAGGTAAAGTGTGGCTATACAAACAAAATCCTAAGAAATATGATATTACATTTGGTCATTATGGTTAACTTGTGCGCAGTATTAGCAGAATAAACATATAAAATGCTGTACAAATCCTTAAAACGACAAACAAGTCAGCCAGCATTTTACACAACAAGATCCGGAAATTATATCCAGCGGAAACACAGGCTGCACGTCAAATCTCCCCCTCCCTCTCTCTCTCTATCTCTCTCTCCCTCTCTCTCTCCTCAGTCGAGTAAACTCCATACTCCTCCACATCTAATTAAACAGCCATCATAACTGTTTTAAGTGCCTCGGGCAAATTCACTCCCTCTCTATCAAAGTCAGAAAACGAACTGAAAGCACGCTGGCAGTGAGGACGTGTTTGATGTTCATTTCTTTGTTTGTTGGGCTGTTGTGTTGGGAGCAGGTGTGAGCAAATGCCGTGTTTGGCTTTGAAGTGTAAGAGCCTGATGAACTGAGAGAGACTCAAGAGAAACATGGGAAATTAACACTGAAGCAGAAATGACTGTTTGAGTGTGATATAACCATCTACAATCTTTTTTATACTACACACGGAGGACATGTTGGATTTCTGGTCTCGTAATTCCACCTGCTGATCAATAAACCCAACTCCGAGACCCTTTGAGTTCTTGTTCTAAATCAATAACTCAAATTATTTTTACATGTATGAAGGCAGGGAAGTTATAAATACATGCGAGCAGTAAGCAAGAGGTACAAACTAAAGGAATAATCCAGGAGGACATGCATCAAAGTCAATAGTCAAGAGAAGACTTAATAAAGAAGGTTACCACAAGATATAAACCATCGGTAAACCTAAAAAAACAGGAAGACCAGATAAAACAGCCTGTACAGTTCTGGAACAATGTCTTAGGAACAGATTAGACAAAGATCAACTCGTACCAGAATGATAGGAAGAGAAGAATGTGGAGAAAGAGAAGGAACTGCTCATGAACCAAAGCACACCACCTCAGATGTAAAGCATGGTGGAGGTAGTATTATGTAATGTATGGCTGTCAATGGAACTTGTTCCCTTGCATTTGTTGATGCTGTTTCAGTCAAAGGTGTCAAAACTCAATGGGAAGCGCTTCACAGTGCAGGTGGACAATGACCCGAAGCATACTGTGAAAGCAACCCAAGGCACAGAGACAGACTGTTCTGCAACGGCCAAGTCATTCATCTGACCTCAATCCAATCCAATCAAGCATGCATTTCACTTCCTGAGGGCAAAACTGAAGGTAAAATACTCCAAGAACACACAGCTGAAGACAGCTGCTCCAAAGCTTGGCCACCAGGGAAGAAACCCAGCATCTGGTGGTGTCTTTGGGTTCCAGACTACTTCTGAAATACTCTCAGACTAAAGTCTGACAATTTGACAATTTATGATTGTTAGTTTTCTTATTCATTTTGAGCCTCTAAAAATGGGGGACTATGCATGAAAATGGTTATAATTGCTACACTGTCCACTCAATTTTGTTGAAAAGTGTTCTACATAGCAGCAAACAGGGTCCTTTTGAGGTTCACTGGACCTCAATGGATGAGCCTGGAGATGCAAAGACTTATTGCTGTCCTTGTCCTTCAAAAGTAGTTGTAAGTTCAAGTATCCTAATTGATCTACAGTCTTCTTATCTATTGCTGGCTGTCAAGGGCGATCTTCTCAGTGACCGTAAAACCAGTATCTAGAACTGTATACTCAGTGTTCTCCCTTAGGACAAGTACGACAATGTCTTAGATGATGCACATTTGCTTCTCCAACTGAGTGCAGACCTTGGGATGTTAGTGACCTGGCACTTGCATGAACTACAAACTGACCCCCAAGCTGCCATGATAAGGTAATGCCAACAGAAAAATGTATTTAAAATAATTTATATTTGCATATTTCGTGTGTCAGTTGTCTTACAAAGATGGCAGCAATAGGGGGAAAGGAGGAAGGGGAAAATGAAGTCACAAGTGGTTAGTGACCTAAAGTATGGGGGGGGACTAGAACTAAGAGTACTGAATCATAGAAAGTATTGAAAGGAAGAAAACTGGCCAAAGTGGACTAATGTTATCCACTAATACCTGCATATTACATCATTAAAAGGATGTAGGCCCAGATACCAGAATGTATGGACCCAGTTCCTCAAATCTGGCACCTTTATGGTTGGGAACAAAGAGCACATCACATCTGTTTCCCATGTTGCAGCATCTTTTGGCTCCATTGCATTCAGCTGGTGCTACAACAATAGACCAGCCAGATGTTACAACCCACTGCTCAACCATCGCACAATACATGGGGGTTTCAGTTAGATAACTGGGCTAATCCAAACTCGTCCACCTAACTGGCTCTTGGCTTGGACTTACAGGTCCAGTGATAACCTTAACTGTTGTTGAACCTTTAATTCATAGAACTTTAAAAAGGTTCTTTACATCCCATGTAAAAATGTAATTCCACAACAAATCAACTGAAAAGCTATTTAGGCAAGTGGTTCTCAAAGTGGATTCCTTGGTGGTTCACATTTGCTCTGTTAATATGTGTGGACTGTCTGGGGTCCCGGAGGACCACTGCTTTAAGGAACTTCTAAGGTATCACTCAAAAGAACCTTTGTTGTCACTTTAAAGGGTGTAGAATCCACTCCTGTCCAGAAAAAAAACATCTGAAGTTTCCACACCCTTTGTCCAGAATCCACTCCAAAACTACACTCTTAAAAAAGGTGGTTCTTCAAGGGTTGTTTAAAGGGAATGTTTGTTAAAGGGAATGGGTTTATTTAGCAACATTTCATACTTAAATGGTTCTTTGCATGGTAAAGTGTTCTTCATATTGACGGGGAAAGTGTTCTTAACATCATAACAATATCAGAACCCCTTTTGGTGCTATATAGAACCATTTTCAAAAAGCATCTATATAGAATCACGTGCAGCACCTTCTCCATCGATCTAAAGAACAATTTCAGCATGCAAAGAACAATTTAAGCATGAAATGGCTCTATATAGAACTTATAGTTCCAAATAGAACCATTCCCCTTTACTAAAGAACCCCTTTAACAAGCATCTTTTTAAAGAGTGTCTACTCACAAAAAGGGTAAAACTTCTTGACCCTTCATCCTGCAAAAACCTACAAGACTGACCCATCAAGAAGCTCTGGTTTGTTTTTGCTGCAGATCTTTAACTCAACTACTCAAATCCAAACTCCTGCTAAGCGTTCTAACATCTCTGGAGCTGCCGCAAAAACTGTGATGTTATCTGCATAATGTGATAAGACAGAACTCTGCTATGGAAATCTCTTCTCCTTTCTTGGTCTTGTATCTTATTAACCAACACAAGAGACTCAACGGCAGGGTGGTCTCTGGAGCTTCACCCAACAGAAAGGCAATAACACCAAGCTTCCAGACGAAGTTCTGTCGCAAACAGTTGCATTTCCTTACACGCAAAGTAAACACATTGTCCTCTCATAAAAGGTTGTTTTTGACCAACTGAGCGGGTGCCAGCCTTTTGTCTTTGTCCAGACAGATGATTATAGTCATTAGAGTGTCCATTAAAGTGACGTGATTATAGTGTCCGGAGCCTCTTTGCAGCTGCGGTGGAATAGGACATCAGCTGTACTTGTTAAAGTCATTTTTCACAGCTTGAGGATAAAATTCCCCAATGTTCCCTATCTGACCTTAAGGGACCATCAGGCTGGGAAGAGTCTCGACTTTAGCCATCAGGGGCTGCATTACGGAAACAACCTAACTCTAAAATCTTATCTGTTTAGTTACCATGACAATTTTAGTTAGAACTGAATTTAGGACTGAAACTAATACAGAGTAAAAGTTCATAATCTTATCCATTAACTCCAGATAAGAAAACAGTATTACACAAACATCCTAACTAGACTAAATCTCCTACATACTGTCCTAACTTTAGGATAAACATCAGCAGTGTCCTAACTGCTGTTTTAACTGCCCGTTTCTATGATTTTAGGCGGTTGTGATAAGCAGCATGGTTCACTACTAGCATAATGATGCTACATTTATATATTTTGCAGAATTGTGGCTTCACTTGTGAGACGTTTTCTTTTTTAACTCATATTTCAAAAATCTCAGACGCTGCAGACTCGATCTCCACCGTCCCTCTTATTACCTTTGTGTGGCAATGTTGATGAAAACTTGGCAAGTGATGGTGGTGAATAATGAGGAGACAGAGCTGAACGTGTGTCTGTTCATTAGGAGGAATAACGTAGTGCGCTTGGCTAAAGCGTTTGGGAAATGGAGACTGAAACTGCAAAGTGCGATGCTCTGATAAACAGCAGGAGGCGCAACCTCAATATTCATGATCTTTATTGCACTTTTGTTTTGA